GTTATTTCTCCAATTTTGTGGCACGGGAGGTTTCGGATCCATTCCGGTTATCCCACTGTACCTTCTCGTTCAATTTTTTTTTGTTAAGCGCCTTATTGTGTCAAGCTAACACAAAAAGCTCGTTTTTTCTCTTATTCTTCTGACTAAATTCCGTCTAGTAAATTCGGTTGTAATTCTGGTTGTGTTTTTTTTTGTCAAAATGGCCGTTTCTTGCATTTGTCAGAAATGTTCTAGTAAAAATCGAAATCTTGAAAATTTTGCATTCGAGAATATCCTGAGCCTCCTTCTCATTAGAACTCCGGTGCTAACGCCTTCAACGTTCCTTTTTATATGCATCGATGGGTTCGACTGCCAGTCCGGGGGAAAGGCACAACTCGAGGTACAGCTGGCCTTAGCTTAAGGTTTTTCTAAGTAAGCTCAGAACTTGAGCAAATGTACCGAGGAACCCTGGTCAAGTAGTTTTCTCAAGCAGAGAATCTATCTCGCAGTACATGGTACGAACTCTGATTGAGTACTCGGCACGATTAAGGATAACTACTTTCGAAAATATTTTGTTTGTAGAGCTAAGCGAACGAAAGCACAGCGTAGTAAAAGTATCTGATCGACCTGTAGCCTCATATCAGGTCAATCGCTACGAGTTTCCCTGAACTCGTGAAAGACATGATCAACTCTTTCCCTACCATTGACCTCGTGAAAGACAGATCAACTCTTTCCTGGACGGATCTGGAGCAGGTCATTCATCACTCCGCGCACAAAATTTAAAAGATGGCATCTCAGTCAATATTGGAGAAACGGGCAAAAAACTCCTTGATTCTATCACCGAACTATGCAACATCCCTCTCAGCAGTGAAATTCCAGTAAGCGTCCAACCACTACTGTTTGGTGAAAATCTCACATCGCTGGAGAAAAAATATGGTGGCTTAAGGCCAATTGCTGTTGGCGAAACATTCAGACGACTTGCCGGCAAGTGGGCTGCCAGTTTTATCACCAAAAAAACGTGCACCATTGATGGCACCGATGCAACACGGAGCAGGTGTCCATTTTGAAGCAGAAGCGGCTGCCCACGCTGCTCGATCCTTCATCAACAATATGCACGACGACATGGTCTTCCTCGAAATTGATTTTTTAAACCCATTCAATACCGTCAGAAGAGATTACCAGGCGGAAAGATTCAATAACATGCCCCAGAAGTCTATCCATTCGAAAATTCTTCATTTTTGTGCTATCGTGACTACGTTATCTTTTCATGCAAAGGTTTTCAGCAAGGTGTTTCGATTGCATCCATTGGATTCTGCCTTGTTATTCTTGATCTGCTCACTAACCTTGCTTCCAAATTCAAATGTGGTTACCTTGATGACATATTGTAGGTTATAACTGGAAAATTGTCTCATAAGACTTGAAAGAACTCACTGATGAGGCCAAAAAAATTGGACTGATGATCAAGCCCACCAAATGTGAACTCACGGTGAAAGGAGAAATTACTGTCTCAATTCTCGAGAAGCTTAACGCTATCTGTCCGGGAACCGAGTTGATTCTGGTAGAAGACGTGACACTTTTAGGTGCAACATTAGGCGAGAAAGGCATTGACATGATACTCAAGAAGAAAAACGAAGAGTTCAAACGCCTTTGCACCAACATCAAAGACATTACCAAACATAAAAGATTCATCCTCATTAAAAACTGCTTCGCTATACCAAAACTTTTATACATATTCCGTATCTCTGCTGTCTTCAAAAAGGACAAAATCTTACAAGAAATGCATGACAACCTGAAAGACACCATTGATTCAGTCAAGAACATATCTCTTGTGAGGGACACTTGGGCTCAGAAAATAATGATATCTCAAAAATCGCAATTTGTGGGGGGATCAAAATATCGCTATTTTTACCCTAAAAACCGGTCCGCCCACTGTGTTTTTCACTGAGGAACGATATAGGAGTAGTAGAATAGGCTGTATAAATAATAATAATAGTAATACTATACCCCTCCGGGTTTGTTCAAAATCCGAATTAAGGTGCTTAACTCGGAAATTCTCAGTTCGGTGAAGGGTCACTACAGTGCAGCACTGTCGAGCCCTCAGAGATTACTATCTTACTTTTTGTACCAAAAGGGATAAAAAACTTGTTAACGATTTCCAACAGTCGATTGTTGTTGTCGATGAGCCCCTCTTGTCGCTCCTTGAACTGCTTGCCGGATCAGTCTTCTTCACTAATCCCGAGACCCTTCCGGATTGAGCGCTAATTAGCCTTAACGTGCTTAAATACTCAAATAACCCTACAGTACAAGCACCACAAACGGGCCACACAAATGATCGTAACAATCTCAACTGATATAAATGCCTGTAACAACACTATATCTAACAACAACAAACGGGAGGGTCGGATCACATCTTGTCTGGGTGGATAATTTCTACTGATTTTATACTTTTTTTTACTGCTTGTTTTTTCAGTTATTTTTTATGTTTTTTGTTTTTCTTGGGTACTATACTAATTTTTGTTTGGTTTCTCGTATAGCTTTAAGTGTTCTTGGTCACAGATCTCTCAGGGAACGAGGGGACGGCCGATCCCCCCACCCTTCCTGGAACGTGAATTTTTGGTGTTAACTAGATTAAAAAGTTGTTCACCGGAATCCGGAAGGCTTCCGCGTTCCGAACTACCTATCTGCCCCGGCGGTTAGGGCCTATTAATGTCGTTATTATGAGCATCTGCTCGGCGCGGAGTGCTCGTTAACGGTTCTGCCGGTCATGATGTTAAACAAGAATAACACCCAGGTGCGCCATAAAAACATCTATGTATCATTCACCCGGAAGTACATATCGACGGAAAATAAAGCTAAGCTATAAAACTAATGGCCATTGTCTAAACAAAGCTCTACATGCTTTTCACCGTCTCTACCAAAGCCAGTTCTTTTGGTGGTCTTTTCATCATCAGGTCGACAAAAACGTTACTGTTCTCCGGCTTCGACCAGAACGCTCAAATTAAATTAATTACATGCAAAATAGTGAGCTCATGTCTGGATCTCAGTATCCCCAGACCACGAGGTCACTCCTAAAAACAGGGCTACTACTATTTATTATATTACGATTGTTTTTGTTCAGTAGATAAAAATCATCATCTCCATCGAAGATGGATCAACCCCTCTCTCAACTCCTAGCTTCTCATAATCAGAAATTGAATCGAGATGTTATTTAAATTCATTTCAGGGCTTGACCAGGAAGCTAAAATTAGTTCAAAATAGTTTGAGTTCAGGTCTCAAGACCCCTTCGGATTCCTGAATCCGGGGAAATAACATCCTTATTTCCTCTCCGTAAAGCTGAATTCACGGTTTCACCACCCAATCACCGTTGGCGTGAATGGCTCTGTAACGATCGGAGCTGTCTCTGCTAATACTCTGTCGTATTTTTCTATTTCTTCTCGTTGTTTTTCTCGCAACTATCGTTGTTTTTGTCTTTCTTTTCTGGTTTACATCTAAAAATGGCCGGTTCAAAGTTTCTCGGAAGTGTGACGTCACAAATCGAATTTTTGAAATTCAAAAATTCCACAATCTTCTGACCTTCACGATTCGTCTAATCGTCTAAATAACGTTGCTAATCTTCTAAAAATTTCAACTCTCAAGGTCAGCGGCTACCATTTTGAAATTGCATTTTTATCCATTCTGGTCGAATGTAACATAACTCAACATAACGATGAAAAAAAAACACTCAAGAAATTTAAATTGGGTACTTACACACCTGCACGACTTCTATAATCGAGTAACTAATTTAATAAGCGACTCTAGAAATAATCCAGTAATCAAGTTTAACTCAAGAAGTTTGAAATGAATAAACGTTAACTCAAGACTCAAGTTTTGCTATTTTGACCATTGGGCACCTTCAGCTGTCCTTTTTTCCACCGAAAGTTCACTCTGGTCCACTTCAATTCTTCTTTGTCTCTTCTCGTCACGACGTGCTCTTTATCTAGGATTTATACGGCGAAATTGGAATAGCAATTTTACGCTCCTATTTTTGTACTCCCTTCCCGCGTTTGTAGTTCGATTCTTCTGATCTTATGTTCTTGTACTTTCAGTTGTCGCGAGAAACTTGAGCATGACACGTTCGAATGGAATTTTTTAAAAATTCCATTTCACCCCAAAATTAAGACTAAACTTTGCTCAAAGTCAAACTTCCAAATATGACCAACTTGCACACTACTGGCCTTCTCCGTGATGACGGACGCCGACCGTACGGCACCACATTGTTACGCTGGCAACGTGGCAAGACCATTGCCTGGGATTTTACATGCGTCAACAGACTCGCGACATCCAATATCTCAAGAAGGAAAACAAGAAGGCCCAGTCATCGCCAACATAGCAGAGGATAGAAAATGTAACAATTATCACCAGCTGGAGACCTCTCACTATTTTGAACCTGTTGCAATCGAGACCCTTGGAGGTATAGGTGAAACCAGCTATAACTTTTTGAAAGAACTCTCCCGTAGCATTGATGCAGAAACTCAAGAAAAACGCAGTTTTCTGTTTTTCAGACAATGGCTGGGTGTCGCTGTGCAACGTGGCAACGCCATCTGTGTTCTTGAGCCGGCACTTTTTCTTCATATGTCTTGACCACATAGTATGCTTTCATTTGTTAATTGAATTTTTTACCCATTCAATCAGCTCTGGTTTATTCTGAGCAGTTGTTAGTTTTCTCATTGTGATTGATGTGATTCATAACCATATGATTCTTGAATTTTTTACGTCATAATTTTATTCACGTTATATCACTGGTTTTTTGACTGGCTGATATGATGAAGGACTAGTGAAGTAACTTCGGATAACATGTTAATTTCCGACCTTCTGATTTACTATTTGTAAAAAGTTGAAAATAAATTTGTGCTAAGTTTTAAAATATTTTTGTCTTTTTTCAGTTATTATGGTGATTTTGACTGTCCACACTGCCATTAGAAACCGTTATTTAGAAATATCATCTTGTTAAATGCAAGGCGAAAAGTTAGCTTTAGATTCGGAAGTGCAAGTTACCGAGGGTCTAGCTCCCAACTTCCGTATAGCCTTGACAGGGAATTTAAATGGTCAAACGAGCAACAAAGTCTTCAGAAGTAGTAGATTAGACGATCTACCGCAGGAAAAAGCTGCCCTTCTCAGGTCGCACTATGGAATCAGGACAATTTTAGATCTCAGGTCAAACCGTGAGCTTGATCTCACATCCAGGACGGCTCTCAACACATTCTTCGTTCCAGTCTGTTTGAACCCAAGGAAGGACCCTAAAATAAGAAAGGCTGTACCTAGTAACTCAAATCAGTAAGTTTTTTTTATTAGCCTCCGGTCCTACTCAGTACAGGACCAACCGTGAGGGTAAGTTACTTAAACTTAGAACTTTTCAGTTACCACAAAGTTAGTATCTTTGTTCGCAGAATGAACCATTGGAAATGTTAATTTTAACGTTCATTTCATAAATTCAAATTTCTTCTGTCTGCTGCACACTTGGCCTAGAGGTAACAATTTCATTGGGACGGCAAAAGTCCTGGGCTCAAATCTGACAGGACCTATTTTTTTTCAAACGGTTGTCGGCTTTTTATTGGCCTGCTTATGTTTTGTAGGCCTAGATGACCCATCGAAGAATTCTGTTTTTTTTTCTTGCTGTGCACAATTTCTTTTTCTCATTTCTCATTGCTTTCAAGTTTTTTTTTTTAAAAAGTTTATTCTGCCCAAATGGTTTTGGCATGATTTATTGGCTAAGTGACCTAATTTTGAGTAGTTTCAAGGGAAACATAAGTTTTATACTCAACTCTGGAATGCACAAAATCGGCCTAATGATTTCGTACCAATTTTTGTCGGCGTACTGGCCGGGTGCTTTATTTCAATCTTTTTTGTTAGATTTTAATTAATTTTTTCTTAATTTGATAGTTCATGGGTTCCTGTATCTTAAGGACGCCAAAAATTTCAGTTGGAAAAATGTGCATTAAATTTTCAGTTTTTTTTAATTTGCAAGGTTTCTGATTTATTTCTGATATTTCCAAGGTTTCAATATAAAATTTCGTGGAATTAGTTTGTGTTTTAACATATTGGTGTGTTTAAGGATCTAGTATTCGTAATTGAAATCAATTCAAGTTGATGCCATAACGTACTATTTTCATGCGTCAAAATTTTTCGAAAAAAGAAATGTTTTTTTTTTGTTTTTTTTTTGCTATTTTGACAAGATTGTTTTGTCTACGAAGATCTATGGCGAGTGTCGCACGCGATTCAGGTGTGTAGTTTTTTCCTGAAATTTTTGAAAAAAACCTTTCGCGGTTTTTATTGTCTGTACGGGCGTTTTTGTCTTTTTTTTTATTTTTTTGTCATTCAGCTCTCTTAACATTGCGAGTGAAGTTAAAATTTGATAAATTGATGTAAGTTAAGATTTGTTATGGGTTTTCAAGTTTTCTTACTGAAAATTGTTTGAAACATAAGCATTCATTAGATAGAGAAAACAATATAGGATAGAGAAACTTTAATGCTTTATTTCCAAACGTTTTCGCCATTCACTGGCAGCATGAGGTTGTTGTTGTTATTGCTCCGTGGACTGCTCTGAGAATATCTCCGCGAGTTCTTCTACGACTAGTAGGGGATTTTTCCACAAATCTTCGATGGTAGCAGATATTGGGTTGGCCGGGCAGTTGAACAGATGATGGCAGTCTTCGATGCTGGAGTTGCATTTGCTGCAGAGCTCTGATTCAATGTCCGGTTGTAATCGGTGTCTGGTTTCGGCTAGTTTCCATGAGAAACCTGATCTAAGCTGACACAAAATTCTTCTGTCGTAACGGCTGAATTCTTCTTCGTCTTTCGATATCTCAGGAGGGGGTCTTTTTAAAACTCTGTTCTGCTGGCTTTTGGCTCTCTCTTCGGCGACTGCATGTGTGTGTAGCTGTTTCAGTGTCTGTTCAAGATTGTCTGTTAGAAAACTAGTGACTTCTTCACTTGAACTGGCATGCAATGTCATCTTCTTGTCTCTGTCGGTACTCTGTTGCTCAAACGTCCAGAGGTGATTGCAGGGGTGGGTATCTTGAGTTGCTTGGGTTAGGAATTGGTTGTTGAGTAGGTGGTGGTGGCCGGCGACTTTAAGCATCTTGCATTCATTATGTAGATGGTCTATTGATGTAAGGCGAATGGCTCCCGTGGCTGTCCGTAAAGCAGTGTTCTGAATCGTTTGTAGTTTCTGTTGTTTAGTTTTACTGATTATTGGTGTCCAAGCAGGCGAGGCGTAGTCATACATGATCTTCCGATGGCACGATAGCTTATCAGTTGTGTTTCTTTATCTTGCCCCCAGTCAAGTCCTGAAAGCGCACGGAGTGCGTTGTTTCTTCTGGCTACTTTCTTGCAGACGTTGGCTGTGTGTTGTCCGAAGGTCAGCATGGTGTCGTATGTCACTCCCAGTAGTTTCGGTGTCTTTTCAAGCTTCAGCTGGGAGTTGAACATAGCAACTGGCGGGTGCGTCCTGGCTTGGCGAGGGTCAGGCGTGAAAAGAGTGACTGTTGTCTTCTCGAGGGACACTATTAGTCCGTTGTTTTCCAAGTCGTTGAGTCGAGAGAGGTAAGATGTTATCTTTTCACTGGCGAGGTCAATGTTGTTGCTGGTGATGTAAACAATCATGTCGTCGGCGTAGGTCTTCAGTCGTGTCGGGTGGTCTGGAACAGGCAGCTTGAGGTGAACAACAAAACTGTAAAACAAAACACACAAAGAGTGCAACAAAACTATAACAAACTAGGTTCCCCAGACTGTATAAAGCTGTAACTCACCAGTAACATAGTGGAAGAAAAAAAATCTCACACGCATAAGGCCAGCTCACAGGTCTGATACTCCTCCAGCTGGTTCGGTTCCGGCTGCTTCCAGAGTGATATGTAGCGCTTCCAGAGTGAGCAGTTTCCAGTCGTCATTGGAAGAGTCAATGACGACAGCTTTCAAATGTTTCCTGCTTCCAACGCACTCGTCGATGTGTGCCCCTACATGCAACCTTTGGTGCTGAGTTTTCAATAAGACGAGTTAAAAGATATCGGCTGGCGTTGACGACTTAGCTGGATGAGCATCAAGGACAGACAATCTGCTAGATAGCTCGACTTTTCAGAGCATTAAAAGCAGGAGACTTCAGAGATGGTAGCACAGATTTTAGCTTCCTGGTGGTTAAAATGACTTAAGCACTACAAGAAGCTCTCACTTTTTTTCATGAACTTGTCGGTTATTCGGCCACGGTACTGCATAAATAAAACAGATCTTTTATTTTTTCTAATTCATCATAACCAACCGGTGCTTGTGATAATTTGACAGAAATAAACGCCGAAACCGTTCTATCAATGATCAGTTCGTACACACTTGAAGGGTATTAGTTATCTTCGAAAGACTTTTTCACCCTGTCAATTCCTTCATGGAACGCTTTCCATGTAGAAGTGGTGTTGAAAATTCTATTCCCTATCAATGTGCTCAGTGAACCGGTTGAACAGGTTAATCACTTCGGCAGCATCATATCATCTGATGGCAGCGCTGACATGGTTTTCAGCGCTCGCATTTCTAAGACAAGGATAGTAATGCTGCGTCTTAGACCGGCCATGGTGTCAACAAGATTGACACTAAGGAACAAGGGACTCCGCATCGACAATAAAGCCAGTCCTGCTATATGGCTTGGAGACCCGTATGATCAGATGTACTGACTTTGGTAGACAAGAAGCTCTTATACACCGTGCTAAAAGATGGTGTCTAAGGCTAGAAAAGAGAAACGTCATGAAACTAAAGGATTTAATTGAAAAATCAAAAACAACGCCAGTCGCACAAGAGCTATACTGGAGAAGGGTTCAACTGTAACGTCGGTGTCGATAGCTTGAATGATCTACTTGAATGTGCTAAAGCTTGGCAAAAAGATTGGATTAGGCAGCTTAGAGCTGATCTTGAAAGCGATGGGCTCAAGACAAAGTGTGACCAGGACAACTGGTTGCACAATCCGACAACTGGTTGCACGATCCGACTAATGAAAACTCTCAGAACCCTCGGTCCAGACCTCCGATAGTAATGAAATTGAAATTGATGAAGGAATTGAAAGTATTAAAGGAGTTGAAAGAACAGCAGAGCTCCCCAGCAACGGGGGGTCCAAAAAGGCAAATTTGGTTGCCCTCTGCCCGACTGTAGCAAGAAGACTTATGTCTATGTCAGTGGTTGGACTAAACACTCTCAAAACTGCCACCCGCATGTGAAACTGATCAGCGCATCAGAACCGACCGTCTCAGCAACCCAACTGAGTCGGCAATCCTCCGCATCAAACCAATGCACTAGCACAGGTGATGAGGTGCTTAAGTTTCCGCTCTGCTCTTATCGGTGCTCTGTTAGGAAGTCAATGGTCAATCACTGTTATGTGAAGCACCGATAATCGTGGATCAAAGCAAGGCCAATTCCCGAGCCGCCAAATCAAGTCGGCGTTGTCCCGCTGCGAACATTCAAAAGCCAAAATTGTGCAGAATGTAGCGTCATGACCACCGCTGCTACGGAAAGGTAGAATGGGTTCCCGGTGGTGACTTTCATCTCGTTTGAATAGTTCCAAGGGTTCGGTAAAGTCAAAACCATTGCCCCTGGCTTTTACCAGCTGGGGTGTAAATGGGAGGAATTTATTATATACCGTGCCCTCGGTGATGTTATGTTTTTATTTTTAGGCGCGCAAGCTCTGAATGAAAGCAAAAATCCTGTATCAGTGGTTTGGATTACCAGGATCTTTGCAGTTTTCCTGCTTCTCTTTCCACAAGCATGTCAAGAAGCGGAATGCAGTTTTTGCTTTCTTCCACCGTAAGTTCAAGACACGGATGTGAAGAGTTAGCGGCTTTCAATATTTTGTTCATATCGTCCTTGCGGTCCGTTCTTATGATGTCGTCGGCATATCTCCCTAAAACTTTAGCTTTGAGGTTACCACTCGTGATGTAGTTCTTGATTGGCAGGCGCAGTCACAATAGCAGGCAGTCTTTGTTTTGCCGAGGTGTTTCAGCACTTTCACAGACAAGTTGGTACATTATCTATGACACCATTGCCAACATTTCGAACATTGAATAGAATAGCCTTTGCGGGTGACACGTCGACTACATGACAATAATATGTCAACTAATGTAGCATTTGACGACTGGAACATTACGCATTCTTTTTTTGCGTTTTTTCTTTTTCCTTTCTTTTCCAGTTTATAGCAATTTTTTTAGCGGTGACATGTCAACTACTTGGACAAGCATGCTGGAACAATAAGCATTCATTTTTTGTGTTTTTTATTTTTTCATTTTCTTTTTCCTTTCACTCTTAGTTTAAAGCAATTTTTTCTTTTGTTGTTTTTAATCACTTTATCCTGTAGGGTATACAGGTTGTTTGGTTCAAGATTTTGAGCAAAGTTTTCCAAAGGGTTCGCCCTTCGGTATAATTTTACGAGATCCATTTTTGGCTGGTCAACAAAGTTTTCTAAAGGCGGCTTTGGCTCCAGTATAACAAAATTTGAGGGGGGAGCGCCAAAAAATTATGGTCAAATGTCAAAAGTACTCAAAACGTTATTGTTAGCCTGTTTTTTCAAAAATTTGGTCGACTTTAAAAATGGTCGACAAATTTGTCATTTGTTTTCTCGAAAAATCGCCCCCTAGAAAAATTTCAGCGGACGTCAGTGACGCTATGTAAAATGGCCGTTGAAGTGCTGTGCTTCTTAGTATGATTTTGATCATGTTTACTTCTGTTTTGATCCACAAAAAAGTCTCCGATCACTTCCAAGCAGATCAAAATTCTTTTAAACGTGATATATATACGCAATTTTTTTTATTGTTCACCGAATTGACTCAATCGTTCTGTCAAGCGATCTGTTTTACGTCAAACAACTGGTTTTTGGCCGAACTCCAGTCACTGCAGCATTTTTGCCATCAGTCATGTCAAGTATCTCAGTAGCTAAGGTTGACCGAGAAACTCTTCTTTTTAAATTTCCAAATTACCGAGCCTCAATTGAACGAAGACTGTTTAAGAGTAATGAACGTAGTGAGTACTCTTATATAGGTCTTGTTGATTTTTTTTTTGGTTTTTTTCAGGAAAAAGTCCTAAAATTTGTACACTCTCATTTTTGATTTTTCGCGGTTTGACTTGTGATTTCTTTTTGTGAATAATAAAATATGGAATAATCCAGATTGAACTGCATTTCACTGATGCCGGTGGCTAAAGTGCGGAATTGATTGAAATGAAGAGCCGGGGGGCAACTGATTTGTGTGAACCGCGGACAATGTTCCTCATTCAAAAAAGGCTGCGATGGACTTAATACTGTGTTGTCACTTTTTCTATGTTCCCTGTGATTTTGGATCTGATGACAATACAATTTTCTACAGACTACTCTGTTTGCAAATAAACCGCTCAGCACACAGGTTTTTTTGCAGTATCTAATCATCTTGTTTGGGAACGGCTTTGGCGATTGTCAGCCGTATTGGAAAGTGAAATGCCGCATTGAATCTGGAGAGAACAGACGTCCAAGGCGGGCCTTGCAAGCTCCTCAATGCTGTACACGTTGCTATAAAAGCGTTCATGGCCGCTTAGTTGCTTAAAGAATTAAGAGTGCACGCAGATCGGACACAAGAACCTTCAAGTGGAGTTGCAACAAGGGACAAGGGAGAAATTTTTCATCATGGCCAGCAACTGTTTCTGACAGTGATTCATCAGTGTTTCAGACGTGACAGAAGACCGATTCAAAATCCATGTCATTATCGCAAAATCATCAAATTTCGAAATTGGCGAAGCCGGAGAATCAGAAAAAACTATCTACTGCATGGGTTGTTGTTGAATATGGAAGGGCGTCAGTGTATGGAGGCTGCTATTGCTGGGTCGTCTGTCATAACATTAAGAGTTGTGACCGTCGATCCGAGTTCATAACGGGCTGCTGCCATGTCGGGGCAGTCAAGACAGTCTTAAACGAATGTCCCACGCTTCGCCCCACACACACACACACACTTCGCCCCTCTTAAATCTAGTGGCACATTTCGCCCCCCACACATTTAGCCCCACACATTTCGTCGTCGCCCCTAACTTATTGCACTGTTAATTAACGCCGCTTTCTTAATGTAAATTTTAGGGGCGAAACGTGTGAATACCGTCTTAAACCGCATCCCTATGTTCACATCTTTCGCTCACGTGGTCGTTTCCAGGTTCCATAAGATTCGGGTATGCTCAAAATGATGTATTGTGACCGGGCCGTAATCGAGCTGGTGGGATCGCATCTTTTCCGGTTTTTATGGCTGCTTTGTCCTTCTTTCGCGAAAGGCAACTCTGGGATGAGAAGACGACACCGTCCTTGATGGTTTTCTTGATACAGGCCCTTGCGGCTGCTAGGGTAACAAGTTTTGATGGTTCCTAGCCATAAGTGGCTTCGTTTGCCAGTGTGTCACAGCGGATGTTCACATGACTTGGTATCCAATGTATCATTGTCTTCGCTGAGGCATGTTCAAGGTCCGTTGTGAGCTGATTTGTATCTGTAGATTTGTTGACTATCCATGCAAATCAGGACTTACGGCCATCAGCCTCTGCGTTTCTGATCTACTCGATCGCTTTCAGCCTGCTTCTTGCTCTTCCTCGTAGTACGACGTTAGCTTCCTGCCTCTTGTCTTCATCTCAGTCACCACTATCGGGTTCATAGGATCGCCTCTAGTGACGACAACTGCCGCTTTTTATTAGTTTGTGCTTGCCGCAGCTAATCCGTCAGTGTAAATGACTACTCATCGCTCCTTTATCGGTTTTGTTTTCGACGTCCAGCTGGGTGTGCGTTTCTCAGTTATTGTTGCGTTGGTCCAAAATGATTGCATTTAGATCGGTCTCTCACTGTTTTCCAGCTCTGCAGGGACCTGCTCTTCGATACGTCTCGCCTGCTCCTAGTTAGTTAGTTAAGCGAGTCCACTCTGCGTCCAACCCAGAGATCTTGGGCCCAACTGTTGTTAAGCGTCTTGAATAGCTGCGCGTGAGGGACAACGTTGAAGCCAGCTGCACCTCGCATGAAGCTCCGAGTCGGGTATGGAGGGCTCGTAGCCGGTAGACTACGCCGTCCGAAGACGTTGATCCCCCACACCACGGAGAGGTGTCTACCATGTGGAGGGTATACACCTCCACATGGTAGGGTGGAGGGTAGACACCTCAATGGGCTCGCCTGTTCTCTCCAGTTGGTTCTCATGAGTCCATGAGGGGACTCGGTCTGCTGGCTCCTTCTCCCAGGTGGTTGATTGATGCTCTTCTGAGTTCTGCTTAGCATGGAAAACATTCCAGGATGCCCTTCTGGGTAGCAGGGAAAACTTTTCACCGGCGATGCTCTGTTTTCCAAGTTAGTTTTCTTACACGACTGTGGACTATATGGAGACGCTAACTTTTTGAGTATAGCCGGTTAAAATGGAGAGAAGGACAAAAAACGGAATGTGCATTATCAGGGTGAAATTGCCGCTCTTGAATATTATGAACTACTTTCAGTTTCAGAAAAGACAGTTTGGATAAAAATAGTTACCGTTTGCTAAGGTGTTCCTTTGGAAAACTGATTGTAAAATGCAAGTTTGTTCATAAACTTCACCTAAATATAATATTTATTCGAAAATAACACACATCATGATAATGCAATCAGCTGCTAGCATTACTAATATACACATCCTAATTGCGACCTTAACACAGTTAATAGTTGGAGACCTAAGAAACTGCTGAGGCCCTTAATCAAAAATAGAGCGCTTCATTTAACAGTTTTTTTGTCTTCATTTTTAAACGGTTTTTTGTCTTCATTTATTTAACCTATTTTTGGCTTCATATATTTAACGTTTTTTTGGTTTATTTAACGGTTTTTGCCTTCGTTTATTTAACGGTTTTTAGGCTTCATTTGTTAAACAGTTTTTTGTCTATTGCGATCTTGTTGGAGTCAACAAAGCTTAAAAAAAAGTGAAACTCGCTCTTTTACAAATTTGTTTTAGTAGGGAAATCTTCAAAACAATTGAGCCAACCCCGGTAATTTTTTAGTGAACCCCTGCTGGATCAAGGTCACCGATTCGTTCTATCACTCATCAGCACACGCTCTTTCTTCGCTCTCTTGGGACATCTACCAAACTGGTTTATCAAAATATTCGCCTTATTTTGTCTGATAGCCGATTATATCTGCAACTCTAGACTTCTGCATCGATATGTGCTCAAGGGACTGCTGAATTCAATGGGCTTGGAAAGTTTCAAATTTTTCCTGATCGACAATTGTAAACGGGAAATTGGAACAGGTTAGTTAAATATACTCATTGTAGTAATTCCTGAATAAAAATTTGAGTAAAGTGTCTTGTAATTGAAAGTAGACTTTTTATAGTACAAAATTATAATTTAATTTTTTTTGAAGTGGATTGCTGTTAAATACGTTTTCAAGTTCTCGGATTGATCTGTGCTTGCCTATTGTAGGTCTCCTTAGTTATCCCAGCATGGATTTTTCAAGTTAAAAAATTTACTATCATAACGTCATTTTTTAGGAGTCGATGAACTTACAGAAGACTCTTATATAGGCCGTGATGTTTTTTCAGGAAAACTCTTTAAATTTGTCCACGTTCAGTTTTGGTGTTTCATGTTTTGGTTTTTGGTTTCTTTGTAAGTTCAGTTCTTAATATTATTTACAACTTCAAAAATTTATAAAATAAATCATTTTTCTACAAATTAATTGTTTTTATAAAAGATGTTGGATCTAGTAGTCTTTTCGGAATTTTCAAAAAATTATTTAGGATAACGTTCGGAATGAAATCCATTAATTGAACGGAGTGCAAGTTTTAGCTACTCATTTGTAATGCATTCAATTACAGTTAAAAACTTGTTGTGCATGAATACATCACAATTATCTCATCGTTACAGAAATATATGAATTTCATTTTTTTTTACATGCGTAATGATCATCCTTTTACTCAGGTTATTCGTAATTTGTGACACAACAGATCTCCTTAAATGCAGAAAAACTCTTACTACTGAGCTGAATAATTTTCATTAAATTTTTTAATGAACCTGAGTTCAAAGAATATGAGTTGAAAATGTAAATGAAAGTCATTTTCCCCTGTATAGGTTTTGATGATTTTTAGGCTCAGTTTTGATTTTTCGCGGTTTGGTTTTGTTTTCTGTATAAGTTTGGTTCATTTCCTTTGTTAAAAGAAAAGCAAACTCCACTGTCGAACAGCAAAAGTGTAAAGCTCACGAAAAAGTGATGGACTTTTAATTTCGAAAGTGATTATAAGTTTTCAGATTTCTCCGCGGAATATAAAACTATTGATTAAGATTTTTAATGTTTCCTAAATTCAAAGAGCTTCAAAGCTTTATATTTTTTCCTTTGAATTTCGAAAATTTTTGCAAGAAGCAAGTCAGTTTTTTCTGTTTCATTGCTGACTATTTTCAATTGTTTTTGGCTCTTTTCTCAAAATGGCGCAGTTAATTTTTGTCCAAGATGTTCTACAAAAATTATTTTCTGAATATCTAACCGAAATTTTGCAGAGAGTTTTTAAAAAGTTGATCAGTTATTTTGGTTTTCCTAGTAGTCATAACAAAACAGTCGCAGTATTTAATTATCAGAGGCTCTTTTTAATTTCGTGCGTTATTTTTTACTGGAGCAGAATCAGTTAAAGTCATTTTTTGAAAGAATTCTTAAAGATGATTTCCGGGGTTTGATTTCTGATTTCTTTTACATTTAGTTAAAATTCATTTTTCAGTGAAGGTTTACTAATCTTTCCGATAATGAAAATTTGAATGGCGCGAAAAGGCATGATACGTTTTTTTCGTTTGTAAGTGGTATTTAGTTTCAAAAGTGTTCACTTATTTGGTGGCACTTTTGCTATAATCACGATCGTAGCACTTGAAATGTAATAGCATCTGTTCTCTGCTTTATTTGTGGCTTGTGTTTGTGATTTATTAAGCGTTCGTGGCTGAGTGATTAGTTCGTGATACTCATAATCTCTGGGTCGCAGATCGGAGACGTAGCCGAATTTTTACCAATTCGAGGCTTTTTTTTCTACTTCTTATTGCACTTTATAGAGCTGCTTTTTGTCGTGTTCTCGGTTGTGTTTGCGATGCGCACCTTCGCCTCTGTGAAAAAATATAGGAACAAGTTTACACTCTATCTCTTTTGTTTGTCGAGTGCTTATGAGTAACGAACGTCGTGAAGACTCTTATATAGATCTTGCTGATTTTTTTTGTTTTTTTTTTTTCAGGAAAAAGTCTTAAAATGTACATAAAAGTCTCTAATAACTACAGATGTGCATTCATATATATTGGTGCATTTATGAATGCACTTAGGTATATATGCTTTTTTTGAGTTCAATTGAAATTCATCTGCTGAAACTGATGTGTAAATAGCCTTCTCCAAATACAAACGTGGAAATGGCGCGAAAAAACGTGAACGATTGCAAGTTTCGAAAATAAAATTTAATTTTTAGATTTCCGGCGTAATAAAAACTTTACCGGTTGATCCAGTTTTCTCAAGTTGGGTTAATGTTATCAAAAAAAGCGCCAGTCATAAATCGTTCTAGAAATTTAAAGAGCTTGAAGTGCATCTATTTTTTTCTTTGAAATTCTTTCTTTGAAATTGAAAGTTGAGATTTTTTCTACAAAGTTAGTGTTTTTTTAATGTTTGCTTGCCTTTAATGTTTGCTTGAGAACGGAAAGCTTTATTTTTTATCTTATGAATGTATAAACAGCATAATATTTTGCCTAATTAAAAGCAATTTAAAAAAAAACGATTCTTTTTTTTCGCTCCATGATAACTTGGTACTCAGCAAATAAGATCTTATAAGTTGCCCTTGTGAATCTTGTTCTGTCAGCTATTTTAAAAAACTCAATGTTTCAGCTTTACAAGTGTTTACAGCCAGTTCACGTTTTCCAGTGCTGGTAAATTGCACGCAAGGAAAAGATCGAACAGGACTGATTATTGCACTGCTTCAGATGCTGCTTGAATATGACGAAAAACACATAGTCTCTCATTATGCAAAATCATACGTAAGTGAAGTGCTATGAAGCGTGGGTGGCTTTTTTCATTGAGTGAATTTGAATTGCATTTGATTCTTTGAGGTCTTGCAAAGTGCAAATAAATGAAGGAGAAATCAATTCTTATTAGATTGTGTGACTTTTTGTGGAACTCATAATTGATTTCTGTTAACTATTCAATTTCTATTTTAAAATATTTTAATCATATGAATTTGAAATGAAAATGCGCATGACATGGGAAATTAATTGAAGTTTTGAGAGGAAAGGGGATGGAAGGGTTAAAAGCAAGATTTTAGTTTATCATTTTCATTCTGCGGCACCGATTATTCTATGGACAAACAAGTTTTCTGTAGTTTTGATAGCAATTTGTCTGAAGATAACGTTAAGAATTTTCCGAAAGTTTGAACTTTAATTTTAAATATTCGCATGTTTAGGACCTTTTGAGAACAGAAAAAGTGTTGGCCGAAATCAATGACAATTACGGCTTAAGCGACGATTGGACAAAATCAGACCCAGAAACTATGCAACATATCATTGAGTATATAAAGCTTCATTACTCTTCTATCGGTCAATATTTAGAACTATGTGGTGTGACCAAAGATGAACAAAATGAAATTAAACAGAATATATCGGGTGTGAATAGTCCAAATTTCACTGATTTGGACACGGGAACGGCAGATGTAAAAATACAGATTGATGATTTTGAACAAGGAAAAACGGACGATGAAGATCGAAAGTTGTTGGATGTGAACAAAATTGAGCTGAAGGTCATGACGCCAACTAGTAGTATGGTCAGGTCCGAAATAGGTGAGTCGTTTTCGTTTTAAGAGTCATGAACTTAGTGAATACTCTTATATAGGTCTTGGCGACTTTTTTTTGTATTTTTTTTCAGGAATTTTTCGCGGTTTGATTTCTTTTTAAGTTTATTCATTTCTTTTGTTAAGGAAAACTCCACTATTGAACAGCAAAAGTGTGAAGGGCACGAAAAACGTGATCAACTTCTAGTTTCGAAAGTAGAATTTAATTTACAGTTTTTCCTGCAGAATTAAAAATTAACATATTGATCCAGTTTTTATCAAATTGGGATATTTTCATCAAAAATGTGTCAATCATAAATTGTTCTTGAACTTCAAAGAGCCATATATTTTTTGGTACTCGTTTAGAAGAATGATCCCGCCGTTTTTGATGAGTCCCATGCAATAAAAACTTGTTCAGAAGTGTGGTCCCGCCAGACCACTTGAAAAATACTAGAAAACTACCTGAGAAATACTAGTACTTCAAGTAAATGAAAACAAAAGGAAAACCTGTTAAAAAAATTTCGATAGATTCGCCTTTAAATTTCTCTTTAAGCTAAATTTGAAAAAATTAGCAAGTCACAGGTAAAACTTAGGAACTATCTTTATTCTGATTTTAAGATTGGTTCCGTAAACGAGTTCTGAACGAGTTTTTTAAGGGGACCATACTTGTAAACAATTATCATTTTTTTCTGTTACCTTGCATTCATGACTCTTTTCGAACTATCTGTTTGCTATGTTCTTCATTTGAGCTAGGAAAAGATGAAGTTCGATTTTACTCTTAAATTGTCTAGTTTCAGCGGTTCGCTTAGGATAACTAATCAAATAGTCTTCAAATTGATTTATTTTACTCAGCGAAAAAATAATGTGAGCTTCGATATGGTTAACCAAATTGAAATTTGTCTGCTCCAAAGTTGCATTCATTACTGTCTGTGTTTTTAATGCAAAGTGTTATTTTCCTGCATCTGTGATGCAGTAGTTAAAGTCTGATAGTAGCGCGTTTGATTCCGAGTGGGAGCAGATGTAGATGTTTTTTTAAGAATATTTTCAAATTAGCAGTCAGGTTATTCGTGATTCTTTGTTTTTTGGATGGCTCCTATGAGCTAATTGAAGGTGACGTAAACTTCATTTCTTCTGCATAATAGCTTTTTCAAAGTATCTAAAAAATTTTGGATTTCCAATTTATCAGTGTAAGTTTTTAATGTCAGTTTTAAGGCTGGAATTACAAAATTAGACAAATGCATTTCAGTCGATGCTAACGGCGACGTAAATCGCACAAAGGTCACGACCGAAATTATATCAAATAACTCAGTCAAAATTAGTGGAAGCGAGGAGGAAATGGAAGGTACTAAAGCAGATGATCATATCAATGATGGCAATGACTCTGAAATCTTGCTGCCTGAACACAATATCTGTTCCATCCTTCCGGAAATTGAAGTTAAGCAACCGATAAATGTGGGCGATGCTAAAAATATGGATTTGTCTGAAACTAAAGAGAACTTGTCCGAACTTACATCAACTGATGCTTAAATCATTTTGGGTCGAGTTTGAATGATCTAATTTGCCTCGAAATGAAATCTAGAGCAGATGATAAGACAAATGCCATTTTCATGCACGAATTTCGAGAAATTGCAGATGGAGCTAAAGTTTACCATACATTTTTGAAAAAAAAATTGATCCATTGTTAGACCCAATTCTATTGAAATTGTGTATATAATTTCGAATGAAATACAGTTCTATTTGTAACCTGAAAGAGGTGGGCTTTCTAGTAGTTTGTAAGTACCTGCCAAATTTTTTCAATTTTTGATCGATGATATCATGTTTCTAAAAAAGGAGGCAGTCTGAATTCAAGGTTCATGTTTTTGTTGCAAAATAAATTTACACTAGAGTTGCTAAACAGTTTCAGCCTCAAATTTTCAATTTCTGACGCGTAAAATGAAAACTAGCCAGAATTTTCCAAAAATAAAAAAACTGCAAACGGCTGGAAAAACGAGATTAGTTGATGCAGATTTCGTAAATGTTTGAATTTGGCCTTGATTTGCACTTTTCCAATCGTAGTTGATATTTACAGAAACTGCAAAGTTTGCTCAATGTTCAGACATTTCAGAAATTTAATCGATTATAGGTCATTGAACCTTAAACATATTAAGCGTGATCAGATTTTAACCAGACTTTACTCAAATATTATTGTAGTAAGAGCTCGAAACGCACAATATGTCAAATTTTACATGCTAAAATGCAACAAAATAGTCATGCTTCGAAGGTTATGGACGACATCTTTTGATTTTACGGTAAAATGGTGTTTTCTTTCAAAAGATTAAATCTTTTTGACCACTAATCATGAAGACCAGAGATCATGAAATTGACTTTATTTTTATTAAGTAAAAGATTTATTAAAGAAATAGAAATACTGTTATGAATTAATTTTATGACAATGCTATTAAAATAAAAGGCTTGAAGAGAAACATCTTGATGTGCTAATTGAATTGATTTACTGATTACTGATTGATAATTGCTTAATCATATTGAGTATATTTTCTCATTTCATTCATGTCTCTGATTCGGAGATCTTTGATCTTTTAAATGCTAAATTCTATGAATGATCAATACCTATCTCTAACTAACACCATTCCCTATCGCTGGTTTAAAGTAGTTGACAGCTAAAAATCTAAGTATAAACCAGAAACCTCAGAATACCCACCGCTTGTTTTTATTTTTTTTTGTTTTCTCTTATTTTGTCTTTTGCTGTCAACTACTGAAAACTATGGCCCATTCCCAATTGTTGGTACTATACTAAATTGATGCTCTAACTTAACTGCTCAAAAATTTGTGGTCTTTTCATTTCACTCAAATTGAGCCTTAAGATTTAAAAAAAAAGTGTAAGGATACTACAACATCCGTTATTCTAGATTCTTATGCATTGAACAACGCTGAATATCTTGCTGTACGATTTAAAGACCCAAAATTTATTTCATCTCTATAATTCATTTCTATTCTCACTTATCCCATCTACCTCTGTTGCCTGTGTTTTAAATGTCCAGAGTTTAACTAGAAGCATAAATGGTAATGTTTATTTCAGACTGAATTGTTTCATACATATTTTGGTGCAAAGTTTTAATTTACATTTTATCTAAGAATTTTTACGAAGCCAACTGAGTGTTGGAGATATGACTAAGTTCTTTATCTCTAAGTGTTAATCGATGCGTGACGCCTGCTGTAATATCGGTGACCCTCTGCCACGCTTTTTAGGTTAGTAATAGTTTATTGTTTTTTTTACGTTCTGAACCGAATATACATTAATTTCCGACGTCAAAAGGAGTAGTTTTAGTGTTTTAAAATTCGTTCAAATTTGTTGACAGAGATATTGGGAACAATTTGGCTTTGACTATATTTTCAGCTTTTTACAAAAAATTCCCCTCATTCAAGAGTTTCATAATAGAATTTGAATCTGAATCATAGCGACGCGACGCGACGCGGAAACTTCAGTTTTCGTTTCAGTCATAAAACGCGATTTTATGAAACCTACCCAGCAGAACTACATGTAGAGCCCAAAATAGTGCGAACAAAGCTTGGCTTCAAACCGACTCAAAGGCTAAGTAAATGATATATCATACCACCCTGGTCTTCGGCCGAATCAACAATTTTCTGAATATGAATTATGATTCTCTTCGACTGTGCAGTTTCATTTAGGCACGCATATTGGTATAGGCAGAAAATGCTTGTAGATTTTCCGAACCAAAATAGTTTTTGTAAGTATCACTTCTTCCCAATTCAGCTATTTTTACGCTAATGATTAGGAAGCGTTATGAATTCTGAATCTATACTTTTTTCGGGTTAATAAGTTGTTTAACAGAATCACTGGGTGTCTTGATTCATAATTTTTTTCCAGTTTTCTTGGTAACTCCGCCAACCTTGATCCGGAGGTAACGAATACGCGTGGAACGGCAAAAGTCCTGGAATCAAAAATGACCAGGACCTATTTTTTTTTCAAATGGGGATTTTTGCGTTTTTTGTCGGATGATAAAACGTATTTTTTTTGTCGGGCTATTATTTGTGTGCTGTCGGCCTATTTTTGTCAGCTTATTTTTTGTCGACTTAGTTGCGACATCAAATTATATTGTTTTGTTTTGCTCTGCTCAATTTTCCGTTGTTTTGACTCTTTCATTTACTCCTGCAGTTAGTTGTTTTATCAACCTGGATTTACTTGTATTTTCATAATTTTTATCTTGAAATTTTTATTTGGATTTCGTAGATTTTGTCGATTTTTTTTGGTTAATTGGCTCTCGTTTTGTTTCCTGTCTGCTAGCTTGCAATGATCTTTATATGTTTTATTCCAAGTGGTGGAAAGCTTTGCTTCGCATCTGTGTATTTAATTATTTTTTTCCCCTGTGACATGAATCTCCAAAAGGCAATTAGGCCGGTCAGTCAATTAGTATGTATGACAGTGCCTTAAAAGACTTTGGTCGCAAATTGTGCGAAAAACACCATGTTGTTAATATTTGATGCAATTTTTTTCATCTCGATTTTTGTTGAAGATAAAAACAATGCAAAAGAAAAAAAAAACATTCATCTTGATGCGCAACTAGCGCGAAAATCGTGATTGAAATCTAATATCGAAAGTTGATTCAAAATTTCAAACTTTCCGGCGGAATAAAAAACGTTACTCATTTCATAAGAATAGTATTAATCATAAATTGTTTTTCAGTTTCAAAGAGCTTCAAGGCATAGATTTTTTCTTTGAAATTAGAAAGTTAAAGTTGTTTTCTTGCTTTCGTGAAATTTTCCGATTCTCTGTTTACATTGTTTTTTTTTCTCTTCTCAGTTTTTTTCTGAAAACCATTATGTTTCAATGCATTAAAAACAGTGAAGTGACAAAATAATGAGTCTAATGAAAATCATCAGCTAATCTATTTCAAGAATTTTAAACTGCACTCGAAAATCTCGTTCAATTTGAACCATCCTTAAAAGAGCTCTACTCGCAAGTTGAATAGGTTAAAAAGGTTTAATTTTGGAATCTTGAGAACAAACGGCTGTTTGTGTTAGAGGACGATTTAATTTTGAATGTTTGTTCCCTACTTCTCTTCCGCAAAAACTAACGAAATATGAATGAACATTTTCATTTAAAATTTTTTAGAAATTGCCTGAACCCCAAGATGTACAAAATAAACACATAATTTGATAAGATCCCATCGTGAAATGAAAAGATGCAGCAAAATGTTGCATGTTTTACAATAGTTAGATTTTTTAAAAATTAGCTGCTGGTGCTGTGTCTTAAACAAGTTGTCATTTATTCAGAATTTGAAATTTCCAAACAGAATCATTAAAAATTTTAAGGTATTGTTTTTCATGACTCTCGTGAACCTTTTTGGACTAGCAATTCGGTTTCCGTGAAAACTCCTACAAAAGGCAATTAGGCCGGTCAGTCAATTAGTATGTATGACAGTGCCTTAAAAGACTTAGGTCGCAAATTGTGCGAAAAACACCATGTTGTTAATATTTGATGCAATTTTTTTCATCTCGATTTTTCTTGAAGATAAAAACAATGCAAAAGAAAAAAACATTCGTCTTGATGCGCAACTAGCGCGAAAATCGTGATTGAAATCTAATATCGAAAGTTGGTTCAAAATTTCAAACTTTCCGGCGGAATAAAAAACGTTACTCATTTCATAAGAATAGCATTAATCATAAATTGTTTTTCAGTTTCAAAGAGCTTCAAGGCATAGATTTTTTTCTTTGAAATTAGAAAGTTAAAGTTGTTTTCTTGCTTTCGTGAAATTTTCCGATTCTCTGTTTACATTGTTTTTTTTTCTCTTCTCAGTTTTTGCTGAAAACCATTATGTTTCAATACATTAAAAACAGTGAAGTGACAAAATAATGAGTCTAATGAAAATCATCAGCTAATCTGATTCAAGAATTTTAAACTGCACTCGAAATTCTCGTTCAATTTGAACCATCCTTAAAAGAGCTCTACTCGCAAGTTGAATAGGTTAAAAAGGTTTATTTTTGGAATCTTGAGAACAAACGGCTGTTTGTGTTAGAGGACGATTTACTTTTGAAATGTTTGTTCCCTACTTCTCTTCCGCAAAAACTAACAAAATATGAATGAACGTTTTCATTAAAAATTTTTTAGAAATTGCCTGAACCCCAAGATGTACAAAATAAACACATAATTTGATAAGATCCCATCGTGAAATGAAAAGATGCAGCAAAATGTTGCATGTTTTACAATAGTTAGGTTTTTTAAAAATTAGCTGCTGGTGCTGTGTCTTAAACAAGTTGTCACTTATTCAAAATTTGAAATTTCCAAACAGAATCATTAAAAAATTTAAGGAATTGTTTTTCATGACTCTCGTGAACCTTTTTGGACTTATCTGAAACATGAAAATAATATCTAAGATTGGTCTGAAACATATTTTGTCACGGTCGTTTTCGCTTGCGTCCGTATAAATGAAAGCAGCTTTGATTCTTAAGTTGATTATCTAGAGAATCAGAGTTGAAACAATTTTCTGGAATTCTACAGTTTAAAAAAGAAAGAAAAATTGTAATAGTTTTTGGCAGCTTTCAAATATGAACTCAGTTTGAGCTACTTCTTTTATGACGTAACGCTTTTTGGAAAAAAAACAGCAATTTTTGAGGCTTTAATTTATTTTCTTAAAATTTTGATTCTGCTGTTTCTTGTGATAACATTGTGTTATCTAGCAATTCGGTTTCCGTGAAAACTCCTACAAATATGATTTAAAAAAACTAATTATTTTCCGCTAAACATTTCAAAAATCGCGTTTAAAATATTTCTCTTCTTTTTGGCAATAGATAAAATCAAATGAAACCAAAATATTCTCATGATAAATATTCCAATCAAAAAATTTTCGGCCTTTTTATTTGTCTGCTTTTGTTTTGTCGGCTTAGTTGACTCATCTAAGAATAGTTTTTTTAGCTGTAAACATTTTTCACTTCAGACGTTTTTAGTATTTTAAAAATCCGGCCGATTTTTTTTTTCACATTGGTTGGAATTTTACCAGCTCGGTTAGTCAAAGTTTTTTATTTTTCATTGTTTTTGTCTTTTTTTCTCGTTTTAGAAAAACTCGACTCAATTAAAATCGACCTGGTGGACTCTTATTGCGTCGTACATCCGAAAAAAGTTTGTGCGCGTGTATGTGCTCTGAGGGGAAAAGGGACTTGAATTTCTTTTCGGCATGAAAAGTTTCTGCTCAGGTTTTTTCGCCTTTCTTAAATTCAAATTATAAATTTAAATCCAAACAACTATTCGGTGCAAATGGCGTAGAGGTAAAACAACTGGTTTAGACGGCAAAATTTGCGGTTCGAATCCGGCTGGGCCTTATTTTGCAAAGTTGAATTTTTGTGCTTTTTTGGACTATCGTCTGTCTGCTTAGTTTTGGCGGCTTAGTTTACGTAGCTCGATGGTTCAAGATTTATTCTAAGTTGCTATAACCCCCACGCTTGAGAAGACGAAGCTCGAGAGTTCAATTCCAGTTGAGAACTGTTTTTCTTGCAAAAAGAAAATTTTGGCTAACTTAGATTATTGTCTGTCTGCTTTTTTTCTCCGCTTAGTTCCACAGAAAGATCTTTTTCGACAACTTGGCTTCTGTGCTTTAATCATAAGCTTTTTGTTGAATTTCTAATGATGCAGGCAATTTTGTTCCGGAAATTTTGGGCGTTTGTTTCAATTTTTCAAATTGTTTCAAATTTTTATTGACAAAAACAATTTTTTGAATTTTTTCCGATTTTTTTTATATTTTCATAGACGCTCATATAAGCTCAGCTTCACCTTTGTGTAGAATTTGAAACTTAGCCAATAAATTATGTATCATAACATCCTGGTTTTCGGCCGAATCAATAACTTTCTGAATATGAATAATGATTATCTTAGTTTATGCAATTTCATTTTGGCACGCATTTTGATATGGGCAGAAAAAGCTTGTAGAATCAAATGTTCCGAATCAAATTTTTTTTTGTGAGTGTCACCTCCTCCCAATTCAGCTATTGTTACGTTTGTGATGAGCAACCGTTATCAAATTGCAATATGAAAACTTTTTTTTGGGTTAAATAATTGTTTAACAGTTGTTTGTTTTATAGAATGGTTAATTAATTGTTTTGGTATCTGATTCTCTACTATTTGCTAATAATTTTTTGGATAAAAATATTTAGGTTCACAACTGGCTAATTGGAAAGATACGAATCAATTCAATCACTTTAGTTTTCATAAGAATGAGTCAAAGAAAACTTTTTTATCAAGGCCAGGTTTGGTATTTCACGACACGTTTAGTTTTCATGGACAAAATAGGAAAAATGCAACATCATATTAGTCAATATTGTATTTCAGTCAGACTAAATGCTAATGATCACTCACCTTCCTATCGGAAACTAAAAAATTTTAACAAACTGGAGGTCTAATTGCTGCCTTTCTCATAGTAACAAAACTTTTGGTACTGATTAAATCTTGAGAGTTTAGGCATTGTCTCGCCTATCTTTTTTTATAACAAACAACCTCACGTGATTATTAACCTTAGTTACGTTTATCAACTGTGTTAGTAATTAATTGAAGTGAAAAAATTCATACGGGTCGTATAAATCGATAGATCGTAATTTTTTTTTGTTTTTTTTTTGTGAAAAAAAAAATCCAAAATTAGTTATCGCTCAAAATTCATTTTTTTGCAGTTGACTAATGATTTATTTTGATGTTTTTTTTTTCATTTCCACTCTGAAGAAGAAGGCAAACTCTATTATCAAGCAGCAAAAATGAAAAGGTCACGAAAAACGTGATCGACTTGTAATTTTGAAAGTGGGTTCAAAGTTTCAAATTTTCCGATGAAATAAAAAAAGTTACTTATTGATCCAATTTGATCAGAGTGGGTTGATTTCATAGGTAAAGTACCGATCATAAGTTATTCTTCAGCTTCAAAGAGCTTCTAGACAAAGTTTTTTCTGTGAAGTTATAAATTTAAAGTTGTTGTTTCCTTGAGTTCATTGACATTTTTCCGACTCGATGTTGACACTGTTTTTTTTCTCTTCACAGTTTTTCATTCAAAACAAAAAAGTTTCAAAAAGTTGACTCTAATAAAAAAAATCATCAATTCATCTGATTTAAGAATGTAAACTGCACTCAAAAATCTTGTTCAAATTGAACTATACTTAAAATAGTTCTACTCGCAAGTTGATTGGTTAAAAAGTTTCATTTTGGAATTTTGAGAACAAACGGTTGTTTGTGTTATAGTACGCTTTCGTTTTGAAATGTTCGTTCCCTAGTTCTCTTCCGCAAAAGCTAACGAAATATGAATGAACAATTCACTTAAAATTTTCAAGAAATTACCTGAACCCGAAGATGTACAAAATAAACACATAATTAGATATGATCTGGTCGTGAATTGAAAAGATGCAACAAAATGTTGCATGTTTTACAATAGTTAGGTTTTTTGATTAACGAAATTGAAAAAAAAATAGCTGTTGGTGCTTTGTCTTAAATAAATTGTCACGTATTCAGAAAATGAAATTTCTAAACAGAATCTTTTAGAATTTTCAGGGATTCTTCTTGTATGACTCTCGTGAACCTTTTCTTCTTGTCTGAAATATGAAAATAATATCAAAGACTGGTCTGAAACTTATTTTGTCACGATCGTGTTCGCTTGCGTCTGTATAGATAAAAGCATTTTGGAATCTTTAGTTTTTTATCTAGAGAATCAGAGTTGAAACAATTTTCTGTAATCCTACAGTTTAAAAAGGAAATGAAAATTGTTTAAAAAGGAAATCGTTTTTTTTTCTGCAGAAAAAGTAATTTTTATAAAAAACAGGCTACCTTGAATTTAACTGCATATCTGTAAGCTTTATAGGGGTTTTTCTGTCAGACAATTTCCAACGGCGAGAGTTGTTAGATTTTTTGTCAGCTTTCAAATATGAACTCAGTTTGAGCTACTTCTTTTATGACGTAACGCTTTTTGGAAAAAAAAAAACAGCAATTTTTGAGACTTTAATTTATTTTCTTAAAATTTTGATTCTGGTTTGTCTCATGTGATAACATTGTGTTATCTAATAATTCGATTTCCGTGAAAATTCCTACTATTAAGATAAAAAAAAAATACTTTCCACTAAACGTCTTAAAATTCGCGTTTGAAATATTTCTCTTCTTTTTGGCAATAGATAAAATCAAATGAAACCAAAGTTTTTTCATGATATGAAAAAGAATGAAAATGACGCGAAGATATTTTGTGAACTCAAGATCGGCCCTAGTTTTTGTTTATGTTGGGATTTTCTTTTCCGTAATGCCTTAATTTGAAAACATAATTCCAAATAATTGCACTGCCAATTAGGTGATGTTTTTCTAATGTTAATTAAAACCTGTTATTAATTGACTTTAGAAACAGTATCAAATATAATTTTTTGGAGGTGTATCTCAAAAAAAAACAATTTTTTAAAAATCAATCTATTTTTTTGGTTAACCGGCGTTTTGACAGATGGTTGGAAAACACGTTGCAATCTAATCCACGTTTGAAGATTTAGTTACTTTGTCAATGATGTTCGATATATTTCCCAGTGTACCAGAAAAAAAAGCATTATCTTATATGATTTCTAAGATAACATCTATTGGTGATAATTTGAAAAATGTTTAGTATGCAGACAGATCTCGGCTATTTTACCTTCTTTAAGTTCTTAACTTACACTAGGTTAGCGATGACTTGACAGATTAAAGGGGTTTATTGAGATTAGTAACCATGATCAGTACTATAGTCAGCACATCACATGTGATCAATTTCCATCCAGATTAAGTATATGTGCGAACGTATCAAAGGCTGATAAATTTTGAATCAAAACATTTTGACAAAATTTCGACTCTGAGTAAAGTTTTTTATCGGCTGTTTTAATTTTATATGATTACATTTTTGTCTGCTCGTTAAAATTTATATAGGCTTGCAAGGTACACTGAATTCGCAATAATTTTACATATTACTGGCTGTATTACGAGCCGCAACTTTTGTTACAAGTAATGTCGTCCGCACAGCACATGCAATCAACATGTTCCCAGACTCACTAAATGTGTGAAGTATCAAAGTTTGATAAATCTTGAATCATAACATTCTCAGAACCTTTTGACACTAAATAAGGCTGTTTATTGGCTGGTTTTGTCTGATCGTTATAAATTAAACAAGACTGCTCGTATCAGGGCAAAGCCTTGAATGTTCCGACTGCCTTTTAAGGTTTATGGAGCAGTAATAACATCAAAAAGTTAAATGTAATAAAATAAAATGAAATTTTTTTTTTCTAAAACTTGAATTTTTTAAATGAAAGTCATCCCCCCAAACTAATTATGGCAAATAAGCTTCTTTTAACCAATTTGGAACGATTTCTAAGACGGATTAACTCTCCGCTTACGCGTTAATAGCGCGAAATATATCGCGCGTTAATTGTCCCAAATTGGCCAGAATGGCAATCTTTAAACCCCCGTAACTTTACAAAAAATGATCATATGTGAAATATCTTTTCAAATTTGAGCTCAGGACAACAATACCTTTCATATGATAAAAACAAATTTCGTCAAAAATGGCTAGTTAAAAAGTCGAAATTTGTCTGAAGAAAAAAAACCCACCCCGAGCACAAATATTCCGTTACTTTCGTATCGAAAGTCGGAACAATAACGCTGGCAGCATACAGTGAATTTGCAATGACTTTATCAACTGATTACTGGCTGTATTGAAAGCAATAAGCTTTTCAAAAATATTATGTTCACAAGCGATTAAATGTATCCAAACTAACTAACTGTGTGAACGTATCAACTATTAATAAATCTTGCATCATAAGCTTTATACAATTTTTGACCAAAGAGTAATGCTGTTTTTTGGCTATGTTAGCCTTTTTTGGTTATGTTTTTGTTGATAGTTGAAAAATACACTAATCATGCATTATACGCTAAAATAGTCAGAAATTAACAGAATACTGGCTGCATTGAGAGCAGTAACGAATTGTAAAATAGACTGTACAGTAATATAAAATCTATAGCTCACGTGCTCTGTTTATTTTCAAACGAAGATTTTACAAGTTTTCGCTAGGCTGACAAATATTAGTTTTTGGCAAGCACATCAAAAAAATTTGCATCTGTGAACGCTGTAGTTTGAGATTCTCTATTTGTTACTACTGTTTTTTTACTGCCTGTGACATTTCTGACTAACGATGGGCGAGCATGTCCAGTTGAAAGAAAATGAAGAGCAACTCGTACCTGAAATTATAGAGCGATCGCAAAAACTTTGGTATCAGCCTTTGTGGAATCGAAAAAAAGCTACAAAAAATTTAAAGTACCATAGAACCGGAGTGTTTGTTGTGAGGAAGGCAAGCGAAAATGGTCATTTGTTAACGATATCTATAAAACAAAATGATCAACCATCAGAGAATTCAGTAGTTCATGTCAGGTTGGCGGAGGTTCCTAAGAACGGTTAGTCTAGACTAGAAATTTTATTCAGAGACTTTCAATATTTTTTGATAATAAAAACGGTTTCTTAAGCCGGATCTTAGCACTTTTTGTGCTGAAAAATTGTGAATTTTTGGATGAACCGCTTTGCGTTTTCTTAGCATTCGAACTTAAATTTGAGAAAAAATCATAATAATTTCAAGCAGTTTGAAGCAAAGTTTTTTTTTTACTTTATTGTGAATTAATGTGAATTTGTGCAATAGACTATTCAAAATTTTTCAATACTTGATTTTGTTATCTCAAACTATGAACAAATGGATTTGATTCAACTAACCGGATAAAATGAAATTATTTGCCAAAAAAAATTGAGAAAGTGTTTCTTCAGAATGATTGCTTGCAAGTTAAATATTGGTTTGTGGTTTTTATCACTGAATTACTTGTCATTCCGAATGTTGTATCGAGCGATGTATCATATTAAAGACCTTTCAATTGTTGATCGAAATTGTTCAAAAATTGTGATTCATTAAAGAAGGAGTCAGAAAGTTTAGAAAAAATGACAGAAACGACAACATATGAAAAAGAAATCTGTCTTTTTTCCATTAATCTGGATGGAACTTTCTGAGCGACATGAACAGCAGGCGGTTATTGTTGTTTTGTTTCAGTATATTGCCTTGATTTCAAAACATGTAATGTGCTTGCAAACTGCACACCCCGTTGGAAGCCGCAGCCAAAACTTGAAATCTTCTCGACTCCTCTGATGATTATTTAACAGAATAAGTCGTGATTGTGTTTTTTTTCTAAATTTTTATATGAAATCAAGTTTCTGGTTTAAATATCCAATTAATTTTTCTGAAAGAATTTGCATTTATTTAATTTCCAGCCTGTGTTTTGTAAAAACTGATGCCCCAGGAAAAGTTTTAGGTGGATCAAAATTTTTTTGCTAGTTATAATTTGGAAAAAAATATTCGAATTGCTAAATTTCAAGCAATTCCTAATAAGTATTAGATCCCCTGTTGCTTAAGTTTGGAGCTCAATGCATTTTTTCCCTGTAAATCCGATTTACTCTTATGGTTGGTGCTATTTATGTTTTTTCATCAAGTCACAGAAAACCAGTTGCAAATTTTGTGAATGTCTTAAGCCACATCCAAAATAATCATTGTCTTTTTTTTCTTCATACAATTTTTGGAATGTTTTTTTTTTCACATTTATATAAACGGAACCAGAAATCTCTACATTTTCTGATTTTTTTTTCGAGATGAAATGCAATGTTTTCAGAAATTTTTCTTTAAAATTAAGAAACAACCAAGGTAGCTTGTTTTGTGAAGACTTTGGCTGCTCAAAACCTGTTCTTGAAAAATCGGACACAAATGCATTGGGATAATCAAAAAGCATTGCAATTTTCGAAAACTGCCATAAACGACTTATAGAAAACTTCAACAATTGACTAGGTTTCTCATTTTCTTTCAAACTTTACTGAAAGAATTGCGATTATGTTTAATTAAAACGAGCACTTTCGTGGAGAATTTTTTGATTTCAAAAACAGCACGGGATCGTTTAATTTATTTATATTAAGAGAAAATTGAAATTTTTTGAAAATTATTGAAAATTTCAGCGTTCAAAGTCTTGTTTATCTAGACAGAAAATACATTAAGCAAATACATGGCAAATGATTTTGACCCGTGCTTCCTCGGCATGCAATTCTCAATTAATGGTTTTTATGCTCAATGTTCCAATGATGACTTGGTGTTGATTAACAAAGTAAGGCAAATCACTTGTTCATTTAGATGGAACTGAATGTGCCTTACGGGAGATTAGCAGACTGGTTTTCGAACACTTTCATCTGTTGAATCTACAATTGCCAAGTGTAGTTGCCCATGCAAGCCTCGAGTCTGAACTGAATAAGTACTATGATCTGGGTGAAAAATTTTGGGAGCAATTTACCGAAGGCAAATTGGACATACCGCAATTGTTTGGAAGCGCAAGGAAAACGGCTCCGAGCCGTAGCTTTTCAACAAAACACCGTCCTTATTGGTAAGTATTAAGCACATTAGTACCCAATTTTAACATCGGAAACAATAATTAATCTTCAGAAACTTGCGAGCAACATAAACGCATATTAACCAACAAGCCATGATTTTGGCGCTCATCTTTACAGCGGGCCAACTTCAGAAGTGAACGGTTTCAAAGTCTTAATTGCTGAAATAGACACCATTTTAAATTTTTACATCAAATGTGTCAAGTAGTTGAAAAGTATGGAATTTCAGTCAAATACAAGAATTTATGTATAACAGAAAACTAGACTATATGAGAAATTTTAACTACAAAAACCGGGATGTTGATATGATTTAAACAGAATAACAGAATCAGGACGAGGGGTTGCTATTAGCTAATGTATCAAAAGTCCCAAATCATAATTAACTGTGCCATTGGGAGTCAGGTCGGGGTGTGCCTGATCACTACTTCGGGGCTCAGGAATAGCATTTTGTTAGCTGTGGCTTCAAGTACATTTTAGTCCCAAATTCAGAATTTATTTTTTGGAGTAATTCATGTCAAAACATTCCCCGCTTTTTTAGTTTTTAAGCGCAAATACCTGATTACTCAATTTCTGGCCTCAGTTCAAAGATGCAAATGGTTCATCAAAGGTTGGAGAAACTATGTATCAAAGAACTTGCATAATCATTTATGAGTTGGTGAAAATGAGAGTTCACCATAATAAAATAATTTGGAAATAGTTTCCAAAAGGGAGACGACTTAACCATCTTGCAAAAAATGGATGATTTGAGTGCATTCTTTTAATGTATTCCAAAACAATTCTCGATGTAAATTTTTAAAAAAATTATATTTGAAAGATAGTACTGTCTCAATTTATATCTTAAGTGAATCTGATATCGAACGCCCACTTCCACCGGGATGTTTCGAAGGGTTTAGTATTTGTTTCAATCTATTTTGAGAGTTTTTGGTTCATCTACAAATAATTTTTTTCCCAGGTTGAAATGTTTTCTTTTAAATCTAGAAAATTTGCTTCAGGAATATGGAAAAACATTGCTTTGTTGATGCATCCAGTAAACAATTACTTCCTCAAAAGTTCATATCTGAACCCAACATATACACAACCATAGACACCCGAAGACATTTGTATGAACAACAATTCGCCAGAAAACGGAACGCGGCAAGCAAACACAATCAAGAAGGCAAACAAATGAAGACTTTGTTGAAATACGGAGAGTCTAGTTTGCCTACTACAACTACTCCTCTTTCAAAAACAAGATCGTCGTTTGAGGGTAATTTTTTTTCTGATTGTGCTAAATCACCGTGAGTTTTTAATCTTGAAAACGAAGTACTGGGAAGATGGTTATGTTCTTTAAAGAAATTTGTGCACAAAAAACTTGTGTCACACTGTTTCATTCAGAAAATTTAGCTAACAGAGCGTAGCACAGTAAGTTCCGAGCACTATGTTTTGCAAAAACAGCTCAAGAATTTTTTTTCTGATTTTTTTTTCTCAGAAGCAGGCAGATCTAAGACGTCAAATGAAGCAGTCCGTAAAAACTTGTTTTTCTACCTATTTCCAATTTCACTTACTTACTACTGATGTAAAATAATCTTAAAAGCCAAGTTTGAATGGCACAGTTTGAACAACCCGCAATAGGCTCGTGTTTTTATTGCACGTTGACTACAATTATGTTTTCTTTGAAGCCAAAATATCGAGCAAAAAAAAACATAGCCCTGTACCATAGTTATTTTCTGAACTTTTAGCGGGATAATCAGAACAGAAAAAATTCTTCTGTTTTTTGTTTAAGTGTTGTGATTTTACATCAGGTTTTGCAATTATTGCTAAACATACTTATTTAATTAACTGGTCACTTAGTTATGACCTTCATTAGCCATTCTCTCCGGCGGAGAGAATGATCTCTCACTGTTTTAATGTTTTAACTTACCGACTAATTCATCTTAATTCTTATTCTTTTTAATAGTTTTAACTTAGAATTAGCTACAACAAAGTAACATTTTATCATGGCGCAGTCATCTAACGAATCCAACGTGAGAGGAATACCTCCCTTTTGGCAAAACCATACGGTAGACCCACCCATTCCTTGGGAAGATTGGAGTGATCTGTTTCAATTAGCTATAATTGCTAAAGAAAACATAGATATAGAAAATCTACTCAATCCGTCGGAGAGACAACATCCACTACCACCAAATTTGGAAAACCCACCGGACGGTGAAACAGACGCCCAAAGACGCTTGAGATTGGAGAGAAATACCCAAGAACAAAGACGATATGACGAAGAAGAAACAGCTTCGATAAAAACCGAAACTAAGAAATTTAACGGAATGCGAATAGAAGAAGCAGACAAGAAATTACGTTCGGTCTTATATCTGGCATTGGGAAATGAAGGAAAAAGGATCTTCGGACAGAAATTTACCAAGGTGAAAGTCTTACAAATTTCCTTTAAAGAATTCTGGGAGTTCTTAGCGATTGCTTTCGTAAGAAAATCAAATGTCACATTTGAACGACATAAACGGTTAAATAGAAAACAACGCGACAGAGAATCCCTCGAACAATTTTGGGGTGCCTTAGCTGAAATGGCGAAAAAGTGCGACATATCCGCAGGAGAAGAAGAGTGGATAAGAGATATTTTCATAAATAATATGAAAAACTACGACATCCAAAGGAAATTATTAACAGAAACCCTCCCTCCACGCGAAGCACTAAACGTAGCACTCATCGATGAAAAAGGAATTCTGAATCACTTGAAGTTAACTAATAATTTTAAATCCAACGGATCATCTGTATATAAACCAAACAACCATTTTAACGTCAAAAGAGAACCAACTCTCAACATCGAAAGAAGTAACAGCTGTATGAAGTGTGGCGGTTCATTCTCAAAAAGACACTTAGCAGTTTGCCCAGCAAAGGACACGACATGTACTTCTTGTAAATTCAAAGGTCATTTCACCAGACTTTGTAGATCTCGACGTAAAAATGTAAACATTGTATATACTCAAATTGTAGATAATACAGATTTTAATCCGTCGGATTTTCCGGATGTAAATAACGACCACACGGATAGAGAATGTTGCGGCGTCATAAACGCATGGTCGGAATCTGGACAAAGTGAAAACGACGATTACTCTGTACTAAATGTAACTACAATTTTTGATAACGACGGAAAAGAAATGAAGAAATTATTAAACATCGGACTCGGAAAAGAAAACCAAGTAATTTTAAACATTCAAGTGGATTCAGCTAGCCCGGTGAGCTTTCTTAAGAAAAACGTACTTCACGATTTGAAATTACGCGATCCCTACTTGAAAATTTATCCGGTGGATAAGACAACTAGAGACCTTTACTGTGGATTCACGGATAATGCCATAAACATCACTGGAAAGGTGAAGATTCCGATATTCTCAAATGGTTGGTCAGACAACGACTGTCAATTCTTCCTAACCGAAGGACATGAAAGGAATATCTTAGGAAACGACAACCTTCCAAAAGTGGGAATAGAAGTCTCTCAGAAACATTTTCCACATTTCCAGACCAACAAGCAGTGTAAGTCAATAAATTCCATTTCCCAAACAAACCAAGATAGGGAAATCCTTAATATATCGAAGTCATTTAAAAATTTATTCCTTCGGATTGGAAAAATCAAAAATCAAGTGAAAATTACCCATTTTCACGAACCATTAAAACCAATTCAACTAAAAGGAAGACGAGTTCCCCTCCATTTACTGGACGCGGTAAAAACAGAACTCAATAGATTAAAAGCAGAGGGACATATTAAAAAATTAGAAAATTGCGACGAAGACAGATTTATTAGCCCAATAGTCATCACTTGCAAAAAAGACAAATCCATCAAACTGGCGTTAGATTCCAAGTTCATAAACAAACAGATTTACAAGAACAAATATCAAATGCCAAACATCCACGAACTTGTAGACAACGTCGCGGCACAAATTACTAATGATTCCGTTGGAGAAGTGTGGTTTACTAACTTAGACTTAAAAAATGCATACAGTCAATTAGCATTAGACAAATTTACTAGTAACCAATGTAACTTCAGTATCGTGGGCGGTGACATTACGGGTACTTACCAATTTTTAACTGGTTTTTACGGCTTAGGGGATATGCCCAACGAATTTCAAAGAGTAATGGACTCTACGTTAGGTTCAATCCCATTTACTAACTGTTACTTGGACGACATTTTAATCTCTTCCAAAGGAACATTCTTAGACCACAAGAATATTGTATTAAAAATTTTATCGACCCTCGACGAATACAACTTTGCCGTAAAATGGTCAAAATGTAAATTCTTTCAAAAAGAAATAGAATGGTTGGGATTTAAAATCTCTAAATCAGGAATTACCCCGTTATTCGACAAATCGAAAGCTATAACAGACCTACCTATACCGAAGAATCTGAAAGAATTACTATCATTTTTTGGTTCTATAAACCAATACATTAAATTCGTCCCAAACCTTGCATCCTTAGGAAGCCCACTCCGACCGCTCCTAAATAAGAAATCAATATTCCAATGGAACGATGATCATACAAAAGCGTTTGAAAGAATAAAAGAAGAAATCGTAAACCTAACAGAGAATACACATTTCGACGTAAAACGAAAAACTAGAGTGAAAACAGACGCATCACAAAATGGACTTGGAGCCTCGCTGGAACAACTCCATGGGAACGATTGGAAAACAATCTCATTTGCGTCACGTTTTTTAAATCCTCACGAGTCTAAATACTCTACTAACGAACTCGAACTTCTAGGGGTTGTTTGGGCTGTTGAGCATTATAAAAATTACCTTTACGGATCTGATTTCGAAATAATCACTGATCACAAGGCCCTATTATCCGCTCTTTCACCAAACCACGGAAATAAAACCTACCACAGTAGATTAACAAGATGGGTAGACAGATTATTACCTTTTAATTTCTCAATCAAACATATCGCAGGAAAAGACATGGGCTTCACTGACCTTATTTCTAGAATTCCATCCGGAAAAACCCTCCCAACATCACATTACGACGAAGAATTCGTAGTAGCAAATATTAATAAGATTAATAAATCATTAAATCCGTCGGAGAAACTAAGAACTACTTGCTCAGCCATTGGTCTCAATCTGGAAAATTCCGACTACGTCTTATTACGTAATTACCTAATAGCAGCAGTACTAAAACTTATTAGCTCGTCTTTTCCAATTTGCTCATTCAATCACAGAAGAACAGAATTTTGTACCTCAAATTGTATTCCAACGGATTATTCCAACACAAATACTTTAATTATTTCCATTTCAAATTCCGCATTTCTTTATTTTTTAATTCTTAATTGTAGCCTAATTAATTCACCTGTAGATAAAAAAATTGTAGATACTGTTAATATGAATAATAAGAATATTGTAATTAATCCCACCACTTCCGGTATTTCCGTAGATTTAGAATTCAAACTTTTACCAAATCATATCAATCTCGTTAAAAAATACCGTGAAAACTTGAAGTTGCCGGATCGACCCTTGGATTTAAATATTTTATTTAACGCCAAGTTAGTGGCTCTCTTGACAGAAGACGATCCCATGTTAAGCCCTATTGTTAAAGCACTTCAAAATAAGGTGGAGAAGATTAATGCGGATTCTCCTTATTTCAAACATTTCACCCGAGACCTTCACGAATCCGATGGATTACTTTACATGGACGGCAAACTCGTTATTCCATTTACCCTACGAAACGCGATGATGAAGACCCTCCACGAAACACATCCAGGTCAATTCGGAATGAAATATTTGGCCCACTACATTTGGTGGCCCCACATTAACAGACAAATCTACTTTCATGGAATTAATTGCTCAGAGTGTACATCGGCGGGTAAGAATATAAAATCAGTTATTCCTAATTCACAAATTAGTGAACTTCCTCCATTATCAGAACCAAATGAAGAACTTAATTTAGATTTCGCGGGTCCTTTGGATTCTTATTGGGGGTCAAATAAATACATTTTACTTTGTATTGACAGATTTTCTAAATTTCCGTCGGCAAAAATTACATCATCTACCTCTTCAAAGACAGTTATAGAATTTTTACAAGACTACATATTCTTACACGGGATACCTTATTCTATAAGGGTGGATCATGCTACTTGCTTTACAAGTCAAGACTTCAAATCATTCTGCGATTCTAACAACATCAAAATAATCTTTTGTACAGTAGGCGATCACCGTTCCAACGGATTAGTCGAAAAACTTGTACACACTGTAAAAGTCAAACTACTGGCTATCTCAAAAGAACATCATAAAACCACACTGCAAAATGCCGTTTCAAAAATCATTTGGAACCTACGTTCTACTTTCCAATCAAAAATTAAATGCTCACCTTTCGAGATCCACTATAACAGAAAACCAAATACTATTTGGAAACAATTAGCTTCGGGTAAACCTTCCTTTGGAATTTTAGACAAAGGGAAATCAATATTGTCTAAGGATCGAGCTAAGGATTGGAACGCGGATGATAGAATAGAGGACGGATACAAGGACGATTTGATTGCGAAGAAGAACCAAAATCCGACTGAAAAAGGCTACGATACAGACTATGCTTCATCCTCGAAAATGACTCAAAACAGAATACCAATCGAAAGCCCTTTTAAAGGTAAAATCCTTCGGAAAACTAATGGTAATATCAACCGAGACTGTTTTTATAAAGAACTAAACAAAAGAATTATAAATTCTTCGACTTCGACAGTTAAGTTATCCGACGGAAAAATAATACGAAAATCCGACATTGCGATTCCTATCTCTACCTCAAATAAAATCAGACCTTTTAGAGGAAACATTTCATTACCGTACTTTTCTAACCCTAATGTTGAAGTAGGTCAGAAACTGGAAGGCTCAAAAAGAAAACCAAAACCCAAGAAGTCAACAAAAAGAAGGACCAGACAATTAGACCCGACATCATCCGATAACCTAACTAGGACACGCATTTCTGGATCATCATCCATCCCGACAAGAAGACAGACACGACGCTCAAAGAAGTCACCAACTCATCCAGGTTACCTCGCTTCGGATGAATCTATGCTAATTCCTTCGGATATTTCGGATACTAGTGAATGGGAATGGATAGCGGGCGGTTTTCCTTGTAGAGACGTAGCCAGAGAGCGCTTTATTTCGGATTCACTTACACCTCACATCTCAATCGGAAATAGTTTTAATTCTACTATAACCAATCCTGAAATAAAATCTGAGATTTTAGAAAACGACAGTTTCCCAATCAGTGAACAACCCATGGAGCAATCATATGAGTGCCCAATAAGTATAGTGCCAGCCAGCCGAACATCTAACTCGGCGGATCAGAGAACCGCAAATCAGGGAGGGGAAAACGACACCATTGGACAAAATGACTTACAAGTTGAGCATAATCCGACGGAGACCGACTCAAACACAGACTTTCCGGTGTATGAGATAAGTGACTCAACGGATGAGTGCACTATATCCAACAGTCCTGCCATAATACCCGGTAAAATTCCTGCTACTATCCGTCGTTCTAGTAGAAATGTCGGCCCACCAAAATTTTATGGTCAACGTTACTTTATTGATGCCGTAGAGAGTGTCCAAGAAGCCTCTGGTTCGGCGGCCGAGCCTATTGTGTTAGAGATTGAGGAACCACATGAGACAATCAACAAGACGAATCCGGCGGAGTTAATTGTTCTAGATTCAGATTCATCATCTTCATCAGATCAAATGTCAAACTCATCAACCGATGAATCACTGAGAATGGAAATAGCAAATTTCGGCGACCACTCCGATCTTGATAGTGAACTTTTCAACACTGAACTCGAAAACTTTTTAAAAGACTATAAAACTTTATAACCACTTAGATATACTTTAATCTGATATTCTGGCTTACCAAATAACACACATTACTGAGTAAACCGGTGCTAACATTCAGATATTAACGGCCGTTCACTAAACTTAAGAACTTAACCCTGCGGATAAAATTTCATGTAGTAAAAAGAAGACATCTTCACGTGTTTTCCTAAATTCTTTAATTCGCCTTCACTCCAGTTTGTGTTTTACAAACCAAGATCAACTCCATTAAAATTATGTGCTATCTACGCATTTTACCTTGTAAACCGGTGCTAATTTTCCAGTTACCAAAATGTGTTTGCTAAATTCGACAACTTTATCCTTCGGATAAATTTCACCCTACAAAAGAAATTATCATCTGTTGCTCCCATAATTTCTTTAAATCATATCCTCTTCACTCGCGCATTATAAACCATGACCTCACTCATAAAACGTGGTCCTAAATTCAGCGTTGTGCCAAAACGTGATGCCTTTATCTCATCTTAACATAACCCTTATCCATCGGAATCTGGATAACCTTTGTTGCTGTCATTTAACACTAGTGGAGCTTACTTAGTGTTAGTACCTCATCTTAAGGCGCTTTAATTTTCTTTCCTCGTCCTTAAAGGGGGAGAAAGGAGTCAGTCATAGTTAGTTATTGTGCATTACTATATTGCAATTTAAATTTTTTCCTGCTTAAGGGAATGTTGTGATTTTACATCAGGTTTTGCAATTATTGCTAAACATACTTATTTAATTAACTGGTCACTTAGTTATGACCTTCATTAGCCATTCTCTCCGGCGGAGAGAATGATCTCTCACTGTTTTAATGTTTTAACTTACCGACTAATTCATCTTAATTCTTATTCTTTTTAATAGTTTTAACTTAGAATTAGCTACAACAAAGTAACATTTTATCACTATCGAGCAAAAAAAACAATATCGAGCAAAAAAATCAATATCGAGCAAAAAAAACATAGCCCTGTACCATAGTTATTTTCTGAACTTTTAGCGAGATGATCAGAACAGAAAAAATTCTTCTGTTTTTTGTTTAAGGTATCTAAAATTCCATTTTTGATGCCTTTTCAAAATTTAGGAGCTTGCATAAATAAGTAATCAAGGTGATTGAGTCACGCATTTTCGTTTAAAGTTTAGCGATAAGACTCAAAAAATGCTTACAAGCCCGGTTTGGTAAATTCAATTTGATAGCTTGTGTCTGATGACATCTGAAATTAGTTGTGGAAAAAACGCAATCTTTTTTCTCCTCGTGAAATTGTTTTTTTTTTTAAATGATAGATAAAAATTGACTGGAAAAAACCTAGGATTATTAAATTTCAAAGACAAAACAATTTACGTTGTAATAATTATTTGAAACATCCCATCAAACACAAAGAAAAAACACTTTCTGATATTTTCTTTGAGATTTAAACGAAATTTAGTTTTCCTAAAATGAACATGACTGCTCGTATCAGGGCGAAGCCCTGAATTTTTCGACTTCCTTTTAAGGTTTCTGGAGCAATAATAACATCAAAAAGTTAAATGTAATAAAATAAAATGAAAATTTTTTTTTCTAAAGTTTGAATTTTTTTAGATGAAAATCTACCCCCCACACGCCATATAAAGTACAAAGGGATCGATTTCGCTCCTTGTAACAAATAAATTATGGCAAATAAGCTTCTTTCAATCAATTTGGAACGGTTCTAAGACGGCTTAACTCTCCACTTACGCGTTAATAGCGCGAAATATATCGCGCGTTAATTGTCCCAAATTGGCCAAAATCGCAAACTTTAAACCCCTATCTATAACTTTACGAAAAATGATCACAAGTAAAATATCTTTTCAAATTTGAGCTCAAGATAGCAATAGCTTTCGAATGGTATAAAAAAATTCCGTCAAAAATGGCTATTTAAAAAGTCGAAATTTGACTGAAGAAAAAAAAACCCACCCCGAGCACAAATATTCCGTTACTTTCGTATCGAAAGTCGGAACAATAACAAGGCCGATTGGACGTCATTTTTGCGTATTAAGAGAAGACTAGGACGATACATTGAATGCTGGTTAGATGCATCATTAAAGAGCGTGAAATTTTGTCATTCAGCAAAACTATCAGAATGAGGTTAATTGTACTTATAATCAGGAACTAGACTTTGTACCCATCGAGTCTATCGAAGATTATCTGAGTGTTAGCTTATCTTTCAATTATTTTTTATTTTTAAGCTGAAGCCTACGCAAGATTGCTCCGGAAAAAGTCTACCAATTTGTAGAAAACGGTCTTTTTTCTGATTTGACCACCTAGTGATAAAGTTTTCAATCCTGGTCGGACCAGGACCTTGCTTCTTTCCATCTCTGGAGTTTGAAATTGTTTAAAACTTGATTTGTCGACTGCAGTTTGTCTAGTTTTTTCTTGCTTAGGTTGCATAGGATGATGTTTTGGAAAGATCAGGTCCCTTTCACATTTTTTTGCATTTGCCTCGTTTAGAGGCAGGTAATTGAGTTTCAAAGTTATGAATAATTTCAGATTTCTTATTGCGTTTTTGCTTTTAAAGTTATCAGCCCTAAATTATTACGGCGTTGGTAACATTGGCTTAGTTAACTCATAATAGGCCATTTAAGGGGCGAAAACAATCATTCATGGGTTTTTGAGCTTCGGGGGACGTAACAACTTGGATTCTTAAACTTTTAAAGCTTTATCTGCCCAAAGTCGCTTGGCAAACTTTGTTTCTCCGCCAACTTAACGATCGGCTCTGAGCTTCTAGACTTTTTTCGAACTGAAAACTATTTGAGATATATATTTGTAGAATAGTTATAGTTTGTAGATAGTTTGTATAATTTGTAGATGTAGTTTTTTTCTTCAAATATGTATTTTTTGGTTTTGTGCTATTTGTGCTGTAGCACAATTTTTGGGAAGTTTCGTTTGCTTCTGTTTCAATGTTCTAACACAACCAAAAAAATTCCGTTTCTCAACCATTTTGATAAACTCAATTTGTCGAGCAACGTGTTATAGTGCTGATAAATGTTTAAAAAAACGATCCGAGCGAAATGAATTATTCATCAAAATGAAAAAAGAATGTCAGTAGAGTATCGACATAAAAACACGATTCAGTTTTTTCAAAACACTTAGCAAATGAAGAAGCTTCTGAAAATGCGTTCAAAATTGCTCATGATATTAAATTAGTCAAACTGATTTTATGAATTCAAATTCTGATTCATTTGACGTGCAAAGGGCAGCTTGATCTGTTTTGTTAGTTTTTGTTAATTTTCTTGTTTTCTCAACCAACTTTCTTCAAGTGCTTTCAGTTTTTTTGTAGCATGTGGAAATCTTCAGAATCAGTGCAGCAGAAACATATCAATGACATTCAAATTGAACAAGGAAGGAAAACAATTTAAAATGAATTGGGAGAACTCTGATTCCCTGTATCATTCTGATTTTGTTGAGTTTCACTTCCCAGAAGACTGTGTGTTGGGAGAAAGAACTTTGACAATTGAAATCATGCTTCCCGACAAGGATGTAATAAAACTCCAAGATGGCGACGAATTGATAACTCCGGTTGTTTTCATATCGTCTCAAAACCACGCTGATTTTCTTCGGACCGTAATGGTGAAACTTCCTTTCAAGAGAGTTTATCCAAGCCTTTCAGGATTGAACTGCATTGTGACACAAAGAAAACAACTTGAAATTGAAGAAAAATTTGTTGTCATCAGAGCATTCAGCTTTTCGCCGGTTGCTGTGATGAAAATGGTAAGTTTTTTCAAACTAATTTGAAGCTTGTTTTGCGTTTATGATTGCAAAAAATAATCACATTAGTTCTTCATGCACCTAAAGATGTTTTCATTTACAGACTGCCCGCCTTTATCAAAGCGAAGTCTTGAGAGAACTATCCTTCTTGTACCTTATTCAAAGTTTTCCAGTCAAAGATTTCATCAAAAGTTTTGTCTACTGTTGATTTTTGAATTTCACCCGTATGAAAGATATCTAGTACTAGTAAACAGTAAATAGCTTACCAATTTAGCTATATTTCTATGAACAGTAAGGGAGTATAAACTCACGGCGTAGACAATTTTTCAAGTCTAGGTGAACTTGTATTTTGAGTAGGTTTTTGCTAGTCCGTTTTCTGCCTAAGTTTACAACAGGCACCATCGCGGCTGCGTTGAAGTTTTCCTGATAATCGCAAAACAAGAAATATTTTTAAAATTAAAACATCTAGAATTACGAACTTAATTAAAACCAGAATAAAAGTTTTATGCAAATACCCTCAGAAAATTGTATAAAATTTTTAAGTTCTCTGAAAAAAACATTAAAAAAAACATCTCAAACAATATTAACAGTAAAACGTACTATGTTTCTTCGTACGTTTTTATCATGGAATTACGAGGGAAAAAGATGATGGCCTTGAATTGGTTTGAGTTCTAGTTATGTTAAGAGTATAAATCGGGTAGATTCAGCCGGGGTTGGGGGCATAGACCCTCATTTATTAAAATAGACTATAGACTATCGGGTCTAAACTTTATGTAATAACATGGGGAAAAGATTTCAGAGTTTCAGATGGTAAGATGGTATTTTTGAGAAAAAAAAATTTTGGCGCCCGATTTTGCCGATACAGCAATGCTTAAGATTCCAATCTTTTTCTGAATCAAAAAACAATCAATTGTCGTTGAAAAAGAATTTTTGAAAGAAAATTAATTACAAAGATTATTTATTAGTTTTCTGAATTTACAGTATTGTAATTATTTTTACTACATAATCTCTTACACATTTAGACGTTTAGTGTATATTCCATCACATTCAGTTTCCCGTTTAGGGTAAAAATAGCTCAGTCCTTTTTTAGTTTGTTCAGAAGTTGCAACTGCATGGTTAATCGTTTTGAATCCTCTAATAGTTGACTTCAATTTCACTGCCTCATCCAGTACTTGTCAATACTTTGCCATCGGGCCATCTCCAGTCCTCTAATGCGCGTATGTTCAGTCCTTTACTATCGTAGCAGCAACAAGTTTCACTACACAGGCACAACATGTCAGTACATCTGAACTCCTCCTTGAACAATTTTGGTTCTCTCTTGTCATTTTTTTTAAGTTTAGAGCAGCATGTACGGGGGAAAAAGCTGTTTTTCGCATCTGCTTTATAATCGTCTCGACAGTCTTTGTTTCGCTTTTCAATCCATTCTGCTCGCTTGGTGCGAAGAACATATTCTTATAACTCTTCTTCTCCCAAAGCCAAATAAAGAGAATCAGTATCCATTTCGAAACTTTCAAAATTGTTGACATCGCAAAATTTATCAAAAAAGTTATAATAAAGCTCCAAAATTTTCAACTTGGCAATGTGTATTATGAAGAATCCTACAATAATTGTTACGACAACCAGATCGAAATTGAACACTTTTGGTGATTGGAATTGACAATGTCTAAAAATTTCGTAAACTGGAACTGCATTTCTGATTGGATATGACTTTAACAAAGGGAGCTAAAATCTTATTGGGCACAATTACAGACCATATAAATAAAATCAGTTCTGATTGGTTAAACCCACACAGTTGAGTTGAAGGTATTCCTCACTCTTAACTCAAAACCTTTTCGTTTTCAACTTAATTACCGTCAACTACCTCCTCTCTCAGCTCCATACATTTTAATTTCAACTTAGCTACCGTCAATTACTTCCTCTTTTAGCTCTAAATCAGTCATGATTCTTGTTTTTGCTCTGGGTTAAACATTTCATCAATCGTAAGAAACTTTTTTTTATATTTTATGGTAAATTGTACTGATGTTAAATTACCGTAAATTGCGGTGATGGAAATGGGTTCATGATAAATTAGTAAAAAAAACTTAAGAAGTTTTGAATCTACTTGAATCTAAGTTCTACTATAGTAGAACATAGTTTCAAGTAGATTCAAAACTTCTGCTAAACTTCTCAAAAACCGCTTAAAACCGCTCAAATCTTGCTTGAAAAACCGTTCAAAAATCACCGCAAGAAATGATCGGTTTTTGAGCGGTTTTTTAAGCAAGATTTGAGCGGTTTGAGCGGTTTTTCCAAAAAAACCGCTCAAACCGGTCAAACCGCTCAAATCTTGCTGGAAAACCGCTCAAACCGCCCATATCTTGAGCGGTTTTTGAGCGGGATCTCGACCCGGGTAGCTGTCAAATATGGTGAATATAAGTTATAAAATAGAAGTTGAATATTTGCTCAATGGTTTCTAGGCGGCCATCAATTGTTTGCGTAGCTTCAATCACTTTGATGAGAGTTTGTTGTTCGACACATCAGCTGTTTTCTTCATAATGAAGCAGCTTACTGACAGACATCACAAATCAGACCCTCACGAGCTAGAGTTCCAGTGTCGACCACTGCAAAACTGCCAAGAAGCAGAGACATTTCGAGTAAATCCTAACTGGTTCTACTTTAATCTAAGTGACAAGGCAAGCTTTGAACAGATGGAGCGGAAAGGGATAGTCCCAATAACCATTGACGGCAAGTCACTTTTATTTGAAAGTCAAAATGTTGTAAGCATTCGTTTCTTCCATTAAGGAAGGATATTGCAGTCATTGTCCCCTAGTTCATGAAACCTTCTTAATTTTAATTTCCAAAAGCGAAAAAGATTTTGGTGCCAGATAGCTTCAACGATTATGGCGACTAGAATCAATGGTTGTACTCAGATTTTTGTATTTTGAAATATCATGGAATTCCCAATTTTTTTTCTATAATATAATTTTATCTAGGACTTTTGTTAAGCTTAAGTAAATATCATGATAATACACTTCGAAGTGTAGACCAGAAGCTTTGCTGGTAGTTTGTTTCAGCAATCTGAATCTGAAGTTTTTTCATTGCAAAATTCAAAAAAAATCGTTTACCCTTCCAAAGGTTCATTTCATTGTAAAAAAAATCTTTGAGAGTTTTAATTAGATTAAATACCAGCTTTTTCTTCAACTTGAACTCTGTATTTTGTAAGTTACTACGAATTGTTTAGAAATTTTTTTTGCTCGGATCATTGAAAATGGAGAGCAACTTTGTATTTGGGTGTTTTAATTTTTTTTCTGTAAAGTTTTTTGTTTTTCATGCATATCAGATTCCACAAATAATCATCAGAATTGGTTGCATGATATAAAATTTTGAAGCCCGCTCAGTCATAATTTGAATGAATGTTCAAAAATGTCAAAAATTATTTCAGAATCAAGAAAAATCGGTTTGAAAGTTGTGAATTTTAGTCTAATTTCGAGCAATCGAGTAACAATTGTTATAGCGATCGAGTAACAATTGTTTTAAAACATTGGTAACTTAAGTTTCAAATAACAAAACTAAAAATAGTTTTAGAAGTTTGATTTAGCGTATGCTTGGCAAGAAAATTTTCCGAAAAAATTCAAGTTATTTTGCAAAATTAAAGAAAAAAACATAAGAATTTAATTTTCGTTTCTTTTTCCATTATTTTCCTGTTAATTTGAGAACAACCGTTGTCAAAAAGCATTTTTATTAGTTTTTTGTTTATATGTGTAGTTTTTTCATCACATAATGAACAGAAAGCGACAGCAATAGATTGAAAAAAAAGTTGAAATTTTTTTTTCGTAGTTTTTTTTAAATGTGTTCGGAGAATTCTGTGCTACTTACACAGCAGTATGAATTATCTTTGAATCAGCGCTGGAATTCCCATCGGTGAATTAGCGCTGAATTGTCTTTAAAAAGGCAATGAATTTTAAAGTTATCGGTGTCTTATCTTTGAATCGGCGCTGTTTTTCAGAATAGCCACTATCACCTCAAATTATCCATGGTTCAGTGCTGCAATTTGCATAAAATAATTATCGCTGCTTCAGGTCCTGATCAGTGGCCACTTTTTCATGACCAGTATATTTGAAGCATTGTGTTATGAAACACTGAGAAATCAGGCCCTCCTTCGCAAAAAAAAGAATGAGTGCAGTATCTTTTATTATTGAAAAATAACTGCCCTTGGGTCTGTATTTTAAATAAAAAATCAAAACTCCCTTTCACAAAAATTCATTTCAACGTGAGTTTCATGTAACAAAGCTGTCGGTATCAGGTTTTGCTCCTGCCATTTCAGCTGTGTGCAGTAGTTTTTTTTAATAGTCAAATTTTTCAAACTTTACTTAATTTTCTGTTGTTGATCACACGTACAATGTCCAGTCAAACTCAATGTCAAGTACAAAGTGTCATACACCTATCCAGAAACAAGTTATAAAAACAACTTGATCGGCCGCACAAGCTACGCTTTTAAAGGCAACTGGCAATTAACGCGCATTAATTACTTACCTTATTGGTCAAACTTCAAACTGGCATTTTTTAAACCCCAGTATTTTCACTTATTTATAGCATGCGTTGTTTGACTTTGAGCTTAGGAAATCAATTTTTCAGATAGTGCAAAAAATATGATGAAAAAAATGTTTGTTTAGGATTGGCCACGTTAATTAGAACAACCTAAAAATTATACTAAAACACCCCCCCCCCCCCCACCCCCCCATCGACGTCAATACAATATCGTCAAAAATTGCATTTAGATACACAAGCAGCCATAAAAATTGACGACGCGTATAGAAATGAACAGATAGATTTCAAAATCCCTTTACGCCAAGAGCAACACGAGCAAAGGCAAATCGATCAAGCCTTGTACGGTAACAAGCAGTATGTCACATATACTTTCACAGAAGATGTGACCGATATCAGTCGAATGAAGTTTTCTATTCAAGGAATGCCGCCAAGGTTCTTTTCATTATTGACTAAGGATGAATTGGAAAATATTCCGAACTTGCCACAAAGTGGACTTTCAGTTTACATTTTGACAGAATTCATTGAATTTCTCAAAGAAGACTGGGCGGATTTTTTGCAAAATGAAATGCACGTAATCCGTGATCACTTAGTGGAATACGGAGGTCTTGATTTCGAGATCGCGTTAAAGAAGATTTTGGAAGAAAAAACTAGCGCGATTGCAAGAGGCGATCCAGAGTACCTAGAAAGTACATATCGACATTATGAGAAAGAAATCTTGCTAAGTTGTCCGGATTTGAAGACTTATCATTCAAGCTTGAGAGTAATTCCTCAAGCTGAAATTCGTGTTTCACGTTTGTTGAAGTTTTCATTTTTGGAGAAATTTAAAAATGATCCGAGAAAAGCCAAAGAAAAAACTCTGCAAGCTCTGGACGAAAAAATAAAATGGTATAGTGGCTTGGAAAACGAGAACGCAAAAACTTTGGCGGAAATCATGATTTTCTGTAAAGAGTCAGAACTACGCAAAAAGATGAAAGAAGCGTTCGATCGCAACGCAGGGGAAATACAGGCGGATGCGGAAAAGTTCTCGAAGCAGCTGACGAAGTTCCTGGACGTTACAATAGAACCAGGCGAAAACTTGGAATGTGATGACTAGTTGAACAGTTGAATGACATTCTATTCCAGGTTACATTGAAGTAAAGACTGAACATTGAATTTCTGACTGAACCAAATGTTTTCTTTTGTAAATTTATTGGCGAAAAATGTAGGTTATCACGAGGAGTTTAGCTAAATTATTTACCGCATAGTACCTTTGTTAATATATATAAACATGCCTTTTTCGCTGCTCCAAATCGTTCTCTTTCGAGCCAATTATCTTTTTCGAGCCAATTTTTTGTTTATGGGAAAACATCTATCATACAATTTTCATATATGGAAAAATGCTTATCATAGAGTTTTCATACAATTTTCTGTACGTATGGAATTGTATGAAATTGTATGACAAGAAGTTTCTCATATATGGAAATTGTATGATAAGAAGTTTTGGTCAACCCGGGATGTTGCCCAATCTTTCTTCTCACTGTGCTTTTTAAAATTGGAAACCTACCTTGCTTTAATCTTTTATAGTTAAGCTACACAAGCTGAAGCTCTGAAGGAAAATGTAATCACTACCTTCGAACAAAAATTGATATAAAATTGAATTATTCTTCACTGAAAAACTTTCTCTAAGGTAAAGTTATCATTATATAAAATTCTTCAAAGTCATGCAAAAAATTATGAATTTTACATTTAAGCTGATCTGTTTGTCTGCTGAGTGTTGATTGTATCAAAAAGATAAATTTAACATCTTCAAATTTAAAGCGAGCTCCTCCTTGAGTCATCTATTTCGTAGCTTGGTTTGCACTTTTTGTGCTTACAGCCTTGCACAAAAGTACTCAGATAGGCTGAAGTTTCAAATGTAGAAGCTAAAAAAGATGTTAAATTCTTGTAGAAATGTACAATTTCTTGTTTCATAGCGCTTTTATATATGCTTTACTAATCCCTAACATAGATTATGTTTCCAAGTAATTTAGAGTTAAACTGTATTTCTTCCTAATATATTTTTAATATGCTTTATTTGCGTGTTTTGACACTGATGCGAGCAGGCAGTAAGGAACATTGATACAAATCTCACCCCTGGCGTGCGCAGGAGTTTTTCAAGAGTGGCGGTTGTTCGAAAAAAATATGAGACTTTTCTTAGGTAAATCAGTTTGATTTTCCGAGTTTTCTCAAATTGCTTTCTGGTGCAAACTTTGTCAAAACTTTCTGCGCCACCGGTAAAGAGATGACGTTCTTGGTAAAAATTGACGTTCTTGGGCCCCTTTTGAAAGGTTTTGGCCAAGCAAACAAACTTACAAAAAATGACATCAATTTAGGGGGGACCCTAGTAGATCAAGGGAGGTTATCTTGCAAGATCTTGCAAGAATCTTGGAAGAGGGAGGCTATCTTGCAAGAATCATACAAAAAAATAACAGTAGCTAGGTGTAAGATCAAAACAAATTGATTCTAGAACGATAACCCAAAATTTTTTCGAGTTGATCTGAATTTTTTTTCAAAATTGTTAGTTTGAGTTGTTAAAATTTGTGCAGAGTGTGGTTCCGATGAATCATATGTGTTCTGTTTTGCCGTCATTCAAATTTTCCTAAACTCAGAAAAAAAACTTCAAATAACTTTGATATTTGTTTTGTTTTTCCAATCGAAAAAAAATTGATCAAGTTCTTATTAGTTGTTAAGTTTTTAATAAGCTTAAATTTTTGTCAGTTTAATAGAACTTTAATTGAAAATGCTGTACCCTCAACCCCCAGTCGTCTCTCTACACCACGTGCTTCTAATTCTGGCCCTTGTACTTCTTTGGAAGCAGACAAATGCCAATTAAGAATTAGTTTCAGTAAAATTGGCTCTTTTTCCCCTCAACTGGAAACTTTTACTAGCGGAACTAGTGTTCGCACTGTTAGACTGTTATTACATACGCAAAGTTTGTGTGGTAGTATGAACTCTCCTAACTTCACCAACCTAAGTTGCAATTGTTAATGTTCATTTTGAAAATGCTTTTTCATTGCAGTGTATGCATATGATCAATAACTAGCTATTAAGTGCAGCCAATACTAAGGATATTAACACAGACTTTTATATTCAAATAGTACTTTAACTTCAAGGTATCATGGATCGGTAGCGTAGAGGTAGGGAAGGATACCCGCAACAAAATAGGAAGGTTAGAACCTGGGTAGAATTGGAGGTTTTTGATGAACTTTTTCGTATATTAGTTAAAATGCTTCTGCTCTAAAAATTGAGGCCTTTTGGTTGGTAAATTTCTTTTTATTTTCTTTTTGACTAAAACTGCCAATGGGTAATAAATGGCTTGGGTCACTTAGCAATTATGTAGACTCATAATTGACTTGCGTCACTTAAAAAATTATGTAGACTCAAAGTTTTACTCATTCATTTTTCTCAGTCCCGGGTTGACCAAAACTTCTTATCATACAATTCATATATGAAAAGTTCTTACCATACAGTTCTATACACTTCAATACCTACAGAAAACTGTATGACGTCTCTATGATAGCCTTTTTTCATATATGGAAATTGTGCCAGAAGTATATTTCCTTAAACCAAAAAGTTTGATTTTGTTCGAAATTTTTTCATAGACTTAGTTGGGATGGTATGGGAGGAGGCATTGAAGTCATTTTTTTTGGTCACCAAGGAAAGAAAATGTGTATTATCTAATTATAAACGGCCACACGGGTTGAGATTCTATACATAAGAAATTTGCATAATTTAATTCCATACAGTAAAAAAATTTATCATACAAATCAAGGCAAGGAGTCCATGAAATACAGCTTATAATTTATTTTCCAGATGTATAACTTGTATGAAGAACATTTATTTCTCATGAATACAAAAAATTCAAAGAAGTGATTCTACAAAAAAAGAAGAAGGCAAAATTTTGCAAAATTTTTTTCTGGATCTCTCATAGTTTTTTCTAGATTCTACCTCGACACCTCAACTATAAAATTCTGTATATTTTAATCCTTAAGTGGCAAAAAACACACAACACAACGGGTCATATAAATGCAAAAAACTTTCCAGCCTAATAGTAAAAATTGCATATCGATTTCTGTGCAATTTCCTTGTTTCTTTGTCCTCAAAAAGACTTCCGGTATGCTCGAATCATTTTGGCCTTCCCTCAGTTTTTATGTTTTTTGAGTTAAACTTTACCTGTCTTTTTCATGGGTAAAAACCCTATCTCTGAGATAGTAACCAAAATAGCATTAGAATAACCGAAAATACGTGTTGGAATTAATATTCGCTCCCAGTATGCAATTCTGCTTGCAAAAATTTGCTTGTAGTCAGAATAAAAAACAAAAAACTATCGGCGCAGGGACAACCTAATTTTTTTTGAGGTTTGAATAATGACTAATTGGGGTTTAACCGTCCACGAACAAATTGAACACTGCTTACAGTTGAGCATATAAAAACTTCATCTGCCTTCTTGTATGTGATATCCTATGCGGTATCGTGGGAAAACTAGTGAAAATTCAAAAATGTATTCTGAAAGATTGAATTTAGTTTTCTTTTCTCTTCTTTAAATTGGTTGCTGAGAGATAATCCAGAATCAAAAACTCTGAGTTCTCAACCGTGTGTCAATGTCACTGCACACATGACCTTGGACACACCATAATGTTAATAACTCTACCACTGCAGGTTGGTAGCACATAAATCAATTGCAGTAGCAGTATGACATACCCCCTCGGGAGGAAAATAAATTATTCAATATATGGAATAATTTATGTTAAAAAGAGTTTAATACACTCAGTTCACAAAAAGTTTGGATTTTGGATGATTAGTCATTTAGATTGTTATTTTTTAGTTCTCTTCGAGTTCTATTCTCCAGCAATGATTCCAATCCGTTCCCTCGTCTAACGTTGTATAACTAAATTTTCTCCGGAATAAACGTCTCTCTAACATCCGTAGTTTCGACTCTACAGGCCTATCACTTCGTTCTTTGAAGTTTGTTAGTCTCGTCCGGTATTCTTGAACTGCAGCCTTGAGCAGCGCTCCCCCTGATAATTCGTCCGATACTTCCTTGATGGAATGTTTTACTGGGTCTCCAAACCGCTTAGGCTCTTTATATTCTTCGTCTGTCTGGAACTTCGTCTTACGCCAGAATCTTCGACGCTGGAATCGTCCGAAACCCCTTGAGGAGGCTCAAATACTGTGTCCCTTTAAGATACTGGTTGGGCATTCCCTCTGAGATCGTCTGCGACTTTTTGGACCCCCCTTTTCAGAAATTGGTCTGCAAGATTCTCCCACTCAGCTAGTGCCAAATTCCGGTTTTGAAATGTGTCTAAGATATCCTCCGGACGTGTTTGAGAATCGATTGTCTTCAGTTTTGCCTTTTGTTTGGTTTTCGGAGTAGAACTCGCGTGGGCGTCGTTTTTCAATGTTTTCGAATTTGACGTTGATTGTTCCATACCCTGATCAACTGCGACAGCAGATTGTTTTGTAAGTTTGTTCTGTTTGTCTTCTGGTCTTTTTTCTTTTGCCTTCTTATTACCCATCTTCATGGCGATCTCTTCCTGCGTTTTTGATCCTGCCCACGAACTGGGACCCGCTGTGTTCGGCTTCGCTCTTTTAATCGCCAGGTTTAGGCCCCCTCCTGCTGCCGTATCTTTTGAAGTTACAACTGTTTGACTTTGCTGAAATCGATATGCCGGGTTCACAAAATCGGCCATTTCCACAGCCCATTGTAACTCTTCATCCGACCCAATGTCCTCTAGGACTTTGGGGGAACTGATTCTTTGGATTTTCTTAGTTGGCTCTGCAGACGGGCTCTTATTCTCGCTCCCCGCTTTCTCGTTTGTTAGGGACGTCTTCGCTTGAGCGATATCCGATTTCCTGTATATAGATCCAGTTGTCGTCTTGACTGTTGAATTCGTTTCAGTCGATATTTTACCCTTCAATTGCTTTGTCAAGGCCTGTCCGCTCTTACGTAGTGGATCCTTTCTCAAAATCGTTTTCGGCGGAGACTGAATATGTTCCGCTTCTTCATCTTCTATGAACCCCTTTTCCCAGGAGTATATCATTTCCTTTCGTAGCTCAGGATTTAGTAGTCAGGTTTCATCAACGATCCGCCTCACGTCATTTTTCGCAGCATCTCTCCTATCCTGGTTCCATCGAGCGTTCGCCTCCAGCAATTCTTTAAGGGCTTTGGCTCTTTGGCTGTCCCTGTCCGAATGCACTTGTTGCTTATGCAGCGGACTGGTGTCCCTGCTGAGTTCTCCTTTTCTAACTATCTTCAAATTCTCCCAGGACTGGTCAATTCTTCGTTTCAATTGTGATGCTGTCAATGCCGATCGTTCCAGGTGTTGCTTGTCTAAATAGTCTAAATTGTTTATAAATTTATCCCGTAAAATTCTAAATTTTAAAAATTTTAACTCGAATGGTCACGTACACTGCTCACTTATTTCGAATTTAATTAAAGAATTTTAAAAATCATGTGCTTTTAAATGAGCAAAAATCACATGAGCAGATTTTCAGTTCTACGTGACACTTGCTCAAGTGCTTTTCTCACACGTGTTAAAAACATCTGATCAGAATTTTATTTTCCTTTCTGCGAAAGTGTTAGTCAAGTGTTTTTAATTTTTTAATCGGTCAATTTTTTAATCAAAAATTGTGTTGCACAAACACCTCACGCCGTAGGGATTTAGTCGGGACAAAAATGACTAAATAGGACTATTTTTGTCCCTCTTGGAAACCTAGTTGTTGACTAGCGGTTTTTTGAACAGCTCGCTCGTCTTTGATGTAAAAAATTTTTGATCAATGTAAA